ATGAAAAATGTGTCACACTGTGAGCCTTCAATTCACTTTCAAAATTCTTATCAGCCTATGTCCATGCCGTATTTTAGCATCTACCATGTGGAGGCAGATGTCTCCTAAATGACCCAAAATGCCTACCCGTTGTGCAATTCCGCCTCCTCAGGAAAGACAATGTTGAAATGGACGAACAATCTTGGGAAGTTGCATAGCCTCATTTGCGGAATGACATAGATGAGTCGAATAGACAAGATTGTGCACCAGTGAGAGACAGCTCTAGACGCATATATAACACAGCTGCCGGGACGTGTGAATAAAGAGCTATAACAACATCCATCTCTACCTGGTCATCGGGCTTGCTTTCCAGAAAAAGTACCTGAAGTGTGCCCTGAGCTTCCCCCCCCCCCCCCACCACACTTTTCGAAACGTTCCTACGCCTTCGCTCTAGGCCCTTTCTCTTTTCTCATTTCCCTTAATGTCTCTGCTGTTTCTGCACATTTCCCCCTGCGAATGCTTGACACTGCTTCACATAACCAGGTGCCAAACTGCACCTTGCCGCAACATCTCAATAGGTAAGGTTGCGCATGCACACCGAAGTTAAACGTGGCGGCGGTTTCGTGTGCTGCAGTCTCCGAAGACGCCGCCAGCCGTCACTGCTCTCCGCCATCTACACCCGTGACGCAGTCAATGCATGCATTGGGTGCACTTACCTGACCCGCAAATGTCGCCGCATAGCCTCTAGGCAATTCTAGATACAATAAACGCGGTCGCGCATTACCCCTCAGTATTAAACTGTGCATGAAATCCGAACCTGACAACGGCTCCGTGCTCACCATTACGTCAAGCACATGCACCTTTTTGGTGACCTGAAGTCTTAAGGTCACCCTAAACGCTTCAGGCAAAATTCACTACGAACACGCAATCCACATTAGGGAGAGACGCGCGGCGTTCTCAGGGTGTTCCTGGAGAAAGTTATCTGCGACGCCGTCACCTACAGCGAACACGCCAAGCGCAAGACGGTCACCGCCATGGACGTTGTCTACGCTCTGAAGCGTCAGGGATGTACGCTGTACGGTTTCGGCGGCCATACACCTCCAGTGGACGGCACGGCACGTGGCGGCGGCGCATTAGCAAAAAGTTGATGACTTCGCTCTCAGCGCTCTTAAGCACGCTCGCGACGAATGCGACGCGCCAGCTGGATGTCCTTGGGCATGATGGTCACCCGCTTGGCGTGGATGGCGCACAGGTTCGTGTCCTCGAACAGACCGACCAGGTACGCCTCGCTGGCCTCCTGCGGAGCCATGAAAGCGCTGCTCTGGAAGCGCAGGTCCGTCTTGAAGTCCTGCTCAACCTCGCGCACAAGGCTGCACTACATTATGCACCGCGCTACACAAAATTTTCACACCGACAACCTAGCAAGATACTTTCCTACTAAAAAACTTCTCATAACTGCGCAGATCTTAGATCACATATCGGGTGTTAGAGCGCAAGGCATTCTGCATTAGTCCCCGGGAGGGTGCGTATGGCTGGCCCATTTAACAAGCGAGCACGGCAGATTTCTTTGCTCCAATGGGCAAGTTTGTCGTGCACAAAGCACTCGTGGGACAACAGGTACGATGTGTTGCTCGGTGGCAGACCGCCACGGTGAGCAACCGCGACTTCACAGGCCGTGATGCGACTGTGTCCCCAGATAGCGATCCGGCTGCCCCAGCTGCTGCTCTACTGCGAGGCCCAGGGCAACTGCATGCCCGTGGAGGAGGAGAGCAGCAACGTCGCCCACAGCGCCGTCGGCACCTGGTACCGCCACAGCGTCTTCCCGTTCGACTCGTTGTGCTACACGTTCGTGTCCAACAGCACGCAGCCCCTGAGTGACGTGATCCTACGCACCCACCACCCGTCGCTGCGTTCGCTGGGCCTGGGCGGCGCGGCTGATCACGCCGCGTCCAGGCACGGCCGGACGGAGCTGAAGCTCTTCCTGCACACGGGCCCGGGGCCGCAGCGGCCGCAGCCGGGCACGCAGCACGTGCTGGTGCGCCCCAACGCCAGGCTGACGATCGTCGCGTCGATGCGCGCGCAGAATCGGCGCGGCGACCAGGGCGGCCTGGACTCGCCGGACCCCTGCGTGGACCGGCCGCACTACCAGCGAGGAGCGGTGGGTGGCCCGCTGCCGGGCGCTGGCCATCTGAGGGCTCCGCCCGCAGCGCCGGGTCACAGGGCACAGGCGCTCGCCGGTCCGTTTGGCAACCCTGTCCGTCTGTCAACCCCGACCGTCTGTTAACCCTCACCGTCTGGCAGCCCTGACCGTCTGGAAACTCTGGCGGTCTGTCAGTCCTGACCGTCTGCCAATCCTTGCCGTCCGGCAGCCCGGGTCGTCTGTCAACCCTAGCCGTCTGACGGCTCCTCTCGCAGCGCCGGGTCACCGAGCATAGGCGCTCGCCGGTCCGTCTGGCAACCCTGGCCGTCTGGAAACGCTGACCGTCTGTCAACCTCGACCGTCCGGCAACTCTGGCTGTCTGTCAACCCTGACTGTCTGGCAACCTTGACCGTCTGACAACCCTGACCGTCTGTCAGCCCTGACCGTCCGGCAACCCCTGCCGTCTGTCAACCCAGACTATCCGGCAACCCTGACTGTCTGTCAACCAGGACCGTCTGTCAACCCTGACCGTCCGGCAGTCCTGACCGTCCGGAAACTCTGACCGTCAGTCAACCCTAACCGACTGTCACCCACCATAGTTCTCATCTGTCATGTGCAGTGTTCACCCATCGCAGTCCCACACAGCCTCCCAACTGTTATTTGGTTATCCTCTTACCTGCTTGTTTGTCACTCATCAGTCTTCCACCTCCTATGGTATCTCGTTCGTCAAAATTTTTTGCCCGTCAGTCTCTCATCCGTCACGGGTTTCTAACAGTCGTTGCCCGGCGATTGGGGCAAGACAGAAGGCTGTATAACACGCCTGGCTGCCTGGGTAGGCAGACTCATAGCGATTTAATGTAACGGACAGCGAAATGCTTTCACTCAGCTTTTCGTGTGGTGCGACATCGGAGAGTACTGCCACCAACCAGACTGTCTACCTAATAGTGGTTCAGATGTGCCGCCGGCAACGGAAGCATAAATCGCCCCTCGTATGCAGAGACCAGTGAGGTCGGCTGGAGAGGAAGCCCAGCCGTGCCTTTCCTTGCTGTCGCTGATTCATGTACGGGCGCGGTGCACAATCACGTCAACAGGTCAGCAGCTGCCGATCCTCCCCCCCCCCCCCCCCCCGACTTGCTGTGCTCGGTTACAGTGCCTGAACGACTGCTACACCAATCTGACGGCGGCGATAGCGAACTGCAGCGGTCCGTTCACCGACGGGCCAGACGCGTGTGTATCGTACGACGATCAGTACCGCTTCTTCGCGGCCTGGCAAAGCATCTCGGACCACTACCGCTGCTTCTCCGTGTGCGCCCCGAGCTGCCGCGCGGTGGAAATCTCCCAGTTCTTCTGGGACGAGCCGCTCAGTTTCAGGTCAACACGCAACGACTCCTACACCTTCATCAAGCTGAACCCCAGGTACGAAGCGCCCGCGGGTCGGGGGGGGGGGGGGGGCAAGCAGACTCATTCCAGCAATGCTTTGCACATGAAGTGCAACCTCATTACACTGCGAACGGTCGGCCCGTCTCAGCTTTCACTACCAAAAGACAGACTGCATCATTTGAAAGCCGCTTTCGCGTTGTTGCGCTCTAGTCCACGGAAGACAATTGGGCAGAAGCAGCGTTTGATGCTCGTCACGTCTGTTGCAACCCGGCGCCGGCAGGACGGAGTTGACGTCGGAGCGCGTGGCCTACACGCTGACGGACCTGCTGGCCGACTTCGGCGGCAACCTGGGTCTGCTGCTCGGCTACTCGGCACTCACCATCATCGACCTGCTGCTGGACGTCATGCAGCGCTGCAGCCGCAAATAGCCCCGCCGTCGCCGCGAGCCTGCCGCGCTGCGACAGTCACGCCGCGTCCGCCGCGTCGCGCTGGGCAGTGCAGAGCAGCGCTGACTGACGCCAGACCGGGGCCTCACACTGATAGTTCTATGTTCTCGGTTGTAGCCATTCAACCTGAGGTTCTCGGTTGTAACCATCGCGGTTGATAGGAAAGGTGGCTCGCCCAGCGAGACCGCCGCCCGTACGCGGCCATCGCCAAATCACTGCGCGTTGCTTTGTAGCAGTACCGCAGCTTCATACCAAAGCTGACAAAGCCAAGTTCACAGCCGAATGACCGGAGCCAGCCAGCTTCCTGCAGCACGCTCTTTTGGGAGGATGGATGTAACCAAGTTTATTCAAGGACAAATACAGCGGCAACCCCATGAGAAGCGACGGCGTAGTTTGCCACCGGTGCGATACGCGAGAAGAGACGGAGTATTCAACAACGTGTATTCTCAGAATATGAAGGGCATGTATCTCACACTAGTGCAAGTGAGCTCGGACGTGATTGAGATGATGGCGTTACGACCGGGCACGTGCCCTGCCTATAGTGGGTACGCCACGTACCACTGGTACTGTATAACGAGTCCTGTTGTTCGCCTGCGAGACATCAGCGTGCGACGCCACATTCCATCCCCGCGCCACAGGACACCCGAAGCCGACCCCTCCCAGGACCGCGCGTCCTCGAGCCGCCGAATGCGACACCAGGGCGGCGATCGTAGTCCGCCGGCTGTTGTTTGTTCCGTATCGGTCGTGGACGGCCGCTGCTGTCGAGCCGGCAACGGGGGCGCGTCGAGACGGCGGCGGGGGCGCCTCGAGCCAGTGGAGGGGCGCCTCGAGCCGGCGGCGACGACGCCTCGAGACGGCGGCGGGGCGTCTCGAGCCGGTGGAGGGGGCGCCTCGAGACGGCGGCGGGGCGTCTCGAGCCGGCAACCGGGGCGCCTCGATCCGGCGGCGGGGACGTCTCGAACCGGTGGAGGGGGCGCCTCGAGCCGGCGGCGGGGACGCCTCGAGCCGGTGGAGGGGGCGCCTCGAGCCGGCGGCGACGACGCCTCGAGCGGGCGGCGGGGCGTCTCGAGCCGGCGGCGGGGGCGCCTTAAGTCGGCGGCAAGGGCTCCTCGAGCCGGCGGCGTGGGCGCCAGCTCACTCGTCCTCCCTCTTGCGCTTCAGGCCGGCCAGCGTGGGGTCCGAGGTGGGCGTCGAGAACTGGATGCGCGGCATCACCGTCGGCGTCCCGCCCGCTGCCGAAACACGACCCCGGTCACACGCGCAGCCACAGACGCACACACACACACACGCAGGCACGCAGGTGGGGAGGACGCACATGTGTGGAAATGTCCACACGCATTTTGAAAAGTCCGGTTACCATAACAGCAAAGCTCGCGTGGCGACGCGCAGGGACGGATAACTATGCCCAACACTCAACAGTGTCATACCGGTAGTTCGGACTATGCGGTAGGGCGCAAAATGACCGCGATGTCGGCGCGCATTTAGCCCCTATTCACAGTGACCATTATCATCAGACATTGTCGCCGAGGTTGCGTTGCTACCAGCCGGAGTTTCTCCGACTGTCGCACTGCTCCCGTGTGCGGGGCGTCGGGCCCGATATAGTGTGGCATGTGTCCAGTACTGTCCAGTTCTGTCCAGTTCTGGACACAGTCCAATACTGCGTGCCGATTCCTTACACGAGTGGCTTGGCTGCGTAACACGCCTGCTGTGATAAATTTACAAAGTGTTTTTAGGACAAGGCTCCGTGATACAAATGTCATCAAAAATGCGGCACGACTGCCGAACCAACGTGCTAACTTCCTTAAACAAGACAAGGAATCACGCGTTCTAATGTTTTCACAAATGAGTCATGGCACATGAGGATAATCTAGCGATAACGATATCCAATGTTTCGATGGATCTTGTGAGCAGCCACGACAATGCTGCTCACAGGACAAACAACAGCTCGGGGGTACAGAAGCCATAATTGCGCCGCGGCGGTGGCACCGCACAGGGGTGATCAAATCGTCGCAAAACTTGGCAACTTCCTATCATCACTCTGCCTGGCTATGAGCCTGAAGAGACGTCTGGGCGGGGGCCGAGAAAGGCCCAGCCGTCAGTGGCCGCGCTCGCGCCACCTCCCGTCCCAACGGCGCTGACGCCACACTCACCGGTCGTCTGGGCGCTCGTCTGCACCTTGAACTTGGGCATGGGCGGCTGCGTGGCGGCGGCGGAGGCGGGCGCGCTGGACGCCTTGCTGGGCACCACGGCCACCTTGGCGCCCTTGGCCGCGCCCACCGTCACGCGCGAGCCGGCCGCGCCGCTCGACGTCTGGCGGCCGGTGGTCTGCGGCCGCGGTCGGCGTCAGCACCGGCCCACATACGCACGGCGACGACGGCGCACTCAGGCAAGCTCGCAGGGACCTGACACTCACGGTTGGGCACCCTCGAGGGGGGAGGGGAGGGGGCAACATTCACAGATGGACACACAGTGCAGGACACTTGCAGACGACACCATTGTCGTTCGCGTCAGCGAGAGCTAAGAGTCGTCAGAAGTCACAGAAAGCCCAACGGAATCAACAATTTCTCTGCTACAAACACGCGGCACAGGCACAACTCGTGCAGGCCCGGGCCGGCGCCGCAAAGTCGGTGCAGAGGTCACCCGAGACCGCCCGCGGGAGGCAGCGAGTCCGGGCCACCGCGGTGTTTCGTCATCGCTTGTGGCAGCCGGTCAGACTTTTGTGACGCCAAATGGCCGGACACGCTGAATGTCCGCCACACCGCCAACATTAACGTCAGCCGCCCGGACAAGCAGCAAACACTCCCGGGAGCCGCTTGGCGTGGGAGGAGGGTCGAACGCGTGCAGCGCGGCTCACCTTCTTGGCCTGCTTGAGCTTGTAGTTGGTGGCCAGGAGGCAGTAGCGGTCGGGAGGCAGGCGGAGGCCACACTGCGGCTTGATCAGCGGCAGCGGGGTGCTGTTGCGGGAGCGCGCGATGTCGGCCAGCAGCTGAAACACGCAGACGAATGTGTGCTGAAGCCATTCGCCGTCGACGGGAGGCGACCACGAAACGCCCGGCCCAGGCACAGCTTCCGCTACCATAGTCCCCATCGATCACCGACTTTGACTTCGTGTTGGCACAAGGTGGCAAGAGTCTCAAAAATTGACAGCATCGCGGGTTTCAGTTTCACGTTTCAGTATCACGGTATCAGTTTGGCCTGCCGTTTTCTCTAGAATGCATTCCCTAGACTTCCACCGAAATTAGATAAGAAAGCAGGTTTAGTACAAACGGCACGACTGTCTGGCAACTGAATGCCGCTTAGGGACTCTGCTGAGGCTGCAAGGTCGATATCTGCGGGCCTGCACCAGAGAGCATCCTCTAGCACCAACGAGCACGACTTGAGCCACATATCGGTACGATCTGGAAGGGGAGCACATGCAAAGGGGTTCGCTTCTCGAAAATGTTACATTATTATTTCGGAGATTCAACACCAATTCTGGTATTAAATGACAGTTTTCATTCAGCCCCAAGAAATCCGATCACCTAAAACATTTAAGCCTTTGCACTTCGTCGTCAGGCGTAACATCGTCAAAATTTGTACTTTGGGGTAGACAGTTTCACGCCAGAACTTCTAACGCAGTTGCTGCTAACGACTAAATTTTTACCAAAATTTCAACGCGAATACTTCTCCATGATGGAACTGCCGGCGCAAAAACTGCTACGCGACATTACCTCTAATGAAATATTTTTAATGCATGTACCTCTAAGCAATAAGACCTCTCGCAAAAAAATACGCGGTGGGGACTGTGGCCCAAGTAGAGGGAGGCCCACCAACATTGAGAAGGGAACTATATGCCTGTCTCCAGTTGATCTGAGCGACGCCGGCAACTTCATAATCGGCATTCTTGAACCCTGGCCACATTTCTATTCGGTTAATAGGACCCCTGGCTGACACAAACCCTCTGTCTGGTGCGGGACAAGATACCCCGTTAGTTGGCTCTGGGACCCCTACGCCGAGAGAGGGGCTCTCCTCTGCCTCAGGGGGCCCCGAGTGTAGTAAGTGCGGGCCCCATTACAGGCATTCAAGAGCCATGACGTAGCGGGGAATAGTGACGCAGCAAAGGATCCAGAGAAATTTGAGGTTGAATTTCGACAAAGCTGCCGTGGTGTAGCCAGGATTTCACCCAGGAGGCGGCCAAATCAGGTCACAGGTGCTTTTCGTTCAAGTGGCCCCTATTTTTCGCATTTTCTTGCCTCGGGGCCCTTTTTATGTTTTAGAAGCCCTTTGGGCGGCTTGTGTCAAGTACATATGCATGAGCATCTAAATGCCAAAAAGTACTGGAATTTTCGGGCCCAGGGGACCCATGGCACGTCAAGGGGAGGTAGGGGGGGGGGGGGGGGCAATGGTTCCAAAAGTCCTCCTTGGTAGCTCCACTGAAAACAAGAGCCAGATCCAAAAATAAGTCGGACGTTGGGGCCGTGTGTAATCGGCTGTTCGCTATCGTTGCCAGTGATGAGACTATGGCAAGGCGTCGCAACATTTTCTACAGAAACCTTCTCACATGCTGGTTAAGTAGCCATGGCAGTGGATGGAATGTGAAGTATTAGTTCTTACATCTCTAGGTGGTGGAGTGGTGTAATTTTGATCAAGCTGCATTTGCACAGCTAGCTTCACGTCTTCCAGGTCGATGTTTTTCTTCTTTGCATGAGAGCAATATACCCTGGCATCTTCCAGCACATTGGTTACATATTCTGAGGAAGGGAAACATCATTATTACCCAACTACACATGGCCGTGCAAACGTGGCACCTCGAGCAATCAACAATACTGTTTTTATGGGTGTGCTTCCTCCTCTTCCATACAAGAACTTGAGTTGTATAAGAACACATCATCAGTTGCATATGGAGTGCGAGTGTGCTATTTATAGGCAAATACAACAGTTGTCTCAGAAAGGGTATGAACTCAGTGTATTTTGCCCCATGCATACACTCACTGTATGTAAACTCAAGCATCTGGTTGATAACTCTGTGATCATATGATGAGATGCCTGCTTCTTTCAAGATAGCTGCCATCACAGCAGCATCCTTAGGCATCTTATTCATTCCACTCATGTTGCTGAAGTTCAGGTCACCAGAGTTCTGCGAAAGACCAAAATTCATGTTGCATGCCTGGAAGCAGTGTTCAAACATTCAGCAAGATAGTTGGTGCAGATGTCGATATTATTTTCATGCTATTGCACACCCAGCTCAGAGTTTGCTACTCCTATTGCTCAAGACCAGCCATTCCAGCATATTTGCACCTCAGGATTGGCAAATTGGTTAGGCAGGTGAGATGTCAGGGTGTGGATTCAAAGGACAATGGATTAGCAGCCAAGGAGTGGTGTGCGTGAAGGCCATTGCAAAGCCATAACTTAAGTAGCATGAATTTCTCTTTGCCTCCTAGTGAACAAAACTTATCATTTTGTGAACCCCAAAAATGCCTTCTGTCAGTACAATAGAATATCTGTCTTCCCTGTGTTTTCTGGCAACACTTGAGGTCTGACATGTACTGTTGATAAGCCTCTGTGCCAAAGTTTGTATAAAAAACATTGCTTGGCAGCTGACTGACTTTTGGACTGCTGAGGTATGACAACTGAAAGCAATGAAATTGAGATATCCGCACCTGTTGACTTTTATGGATTGTAGAAAATGGTGCTCAGAAAACCAATATTTTGGAGGGATACTGACCAGGATATACTGAACCATACACCTATGCAGTTGGCTTAACCCAATCTACTTTGCTGTGTCACGCCATGTTGCATTCAAGGTCACTCTTGGAAAACGTGATGTCTGCAATTCCAAAGTTTATGACTGTCACACTTTCAGGTTGAGTGATGCTGGGAATGCTTGGTGTTTTGTAGATGGTGTACTGATCAACAGCTACACTGTGTACTTCACTTTATGTCTTTATCTACCCTGGTTGCCAAGACACTGTTCTTCAAAAACACTCTACAACTGCCCTTTCCATGGTTCACACTCATGAGCATGATGATCAAGCACACTTCAGCCTCTACCTTTGACAATATACTTGTTTGGTCCCTCTTTCATCAAAATATGCTGGTCTCAGACATTTAAAATGTAAAGTCATCATAACCTTCTTTCATCAAAATGTGCTGGTCTTAGACCTTTAAATGTATTCATCATAACCTGAACAAGTGTTTCTCACGTTTTTTCAGTTTGAAAAAGCCAGATGTCTTTTCCTCACCATGTAGAAATATGACAAATTAAAATCAGGTGAAGTAGTTGTGATGCTGCAACATCACAGAGGTCATTTGATTAAGCATATTGCATGCAAATATCTTGAAAATATTATAGCAAAACATCTAAAGGATTGTGCATATGCTACTGGAAACTGGGCAGTGGTAAAATCGGTGATCACTGAGTTTTATGTCTGCTAAGTGACTGACTGGGAACTAACTTTTAGTTAGTTGATACTTGGCCCACCTAGCTTGTGGCCAAGCATTGCAAGGGACTGACAAGCTCACCATATTGTATTGCTATATTACCTTATAAGTAACATGATACATAACAATAAAATACAAGGCAAAAACAAATAATTTAGGACTGTTCTTTGCCAGTTCCTTGTTTTAGCCATGCTCTAAAAACTTTCCAGGATTTTACTCCAATACACAGCATAATCTGTGATAATTTCACAGAAACAGTATGGTACAAAATTATCTGAGATAATGTTTTGTGTTGGCAATGTTGAATGACATTCCAGATTTTTTCCCAACATTCCAGATTGGTGTCAACATTATCTGTTGGACACACATGACCTTCATGACCATGCACTCCTAGATTCACAACATATCTGCATGCGGGTATAAATCTCATTTGCTGGTCAGCCTGAAAGAAACCTGCCCACTATGCTGATGTTCTTTCTTTTTTTTGCTCAATAAGGGCAATTTTGCTAGACATTACCTTAAGAATATTTCAAACCCTTCAGTTGTTAGATCTCCATGCCGTGCGATTAGTGGCATCCGTACACCAAATCCCAGCATTTGAAGTCAAGCATTCATACAAAAAAAACTGTGATGTGAATGTGTTGGTATTAACCAATAACATGTTTAGTTAGTTCAGCCTTAACCTTATGGAGAACAACTTGATAGCTGTGCCTCCTCGACCAGGACAAAAATTTGTCACTGGAAAGTCACACTATGGCTTTCAGGCCTCTACCACACCTTAAAATATCAAGTAACCTTTCACCAACAATCTGAGATAAAAATACAGGACAACCTTACAAATTTGAGTGGTAGGATTAGTTTGAACATGATAGCATCCACCAAGCATCAAAGTCTTGCTTTCAAAATGTACACAAAAAATCCATGAACTGTGATACCATTTTATCTTAGCTAGCCATTTATGCAACATTATGTCTAAAAACAGAATCTAGTAATCATGGTCTACACTGATTATTTACACTCCAACATTAAATGATTCATCTCCTGACATTTTAAGACATTAAACACCATTAATACCCATAAAACACAAATGTTTTGGGGACATCTTGTCATCTTACCCCTGAAATATGGTAGGTATAATAGCAGCACGCATTGGTCAGCCGTAGCTTTGTCACTGATGGCATGGCTGCAGCAGGGACAATGGGTCGCAGAGAGCTGGGCAGGGAGGTTAATCAATGTGACAACAGTTCAGTCAGATCAGGTTTGGTTTGGTTTGGTTTTCTCATGGGAATTTCAGATTGATGTCAGTGCAATGGAGTCAGCAGCATCAGGAGCGTTGGGTCCCTGGACAGTTTGGATGTTTGCTATCACACTTATTTGAGTTTAAACGTAAAATTGTAGACGTACGAGTTTTATGATAATTTACGGCGGTTGCTGCGCTAAAAAGATAAACAAAGTACAATGTTTTTTGTAGCGTTAGGTACATATGCCCACCCATACCAATCTAGCTGCCTAATTGCGCAGAATGCAGAACTACTCCGTGTCGATACGCAACTATACCTACTCATAGGCCGCTACCCTCCATCCGCCAGTCCAACCACCAAATACCGCCGGCAGCAGTCGCATACACATTAATAAATAGTAATTTTATTGCAACAAAGATTGTCATAGCTGCGTCATAATCATACTTTCTAAAGTACTGCCTTGTTATATATGTACAGCATTCAAGTTGTCTTCAAAACATGTGCAGATAAGCGCAATGACTCTTAAAACGGACTTCTTCAGAAGTCAAATTGTGAACAAAACAGCATGATTTGATTTGTATGTGAAAATTCCTTACAAATGCATTACAGTTATAATTATGGTGACATATATACGTCGTTAACTGGGTTTGCCCGGCCTTCACAGCCTCTAGACTCAATATATTAAAAGTGATGTTATAAGTGAGGGAAGAAAAAACAGAACTCTTATGGTTATTTTTCTTGCTTTTACAAGCATTTCAAAGCATACTATGTTTCCTTTCAGCTCTTAAAAATTGTTTCGAAGCCCTGAAGGTTCAAAAACATCATGAGTTTTTTATACGAATAAGTTGCACCTTTTGTTTTTCCCTGAAATTCACTATCACCTACAGCATACAAATAAAAAAGATGTCATGACCACGTAAGACAAAAAGCGTTTGCTTTATTCTGGAGTCCCACTAAGAAACCTATGACTAACATTTAACAGCCATGACCTTGTGGACCGTGGACGAAAACACACTCGCACATCCGCTGGGCGGTGGGTGAGTGGGTATTGGTGGTAGTCCCTCGCTGCAGAGAGGAGTTGTTCCAGGTTGGTAAGACAAATAATCAATAAATCTGTGACGTTGTAAAATCGCTATATCGTAAGAACCAGAGGTCACGTGTCCTTTGGAACAGGGGCATGCACGATTTTCGGGGCTTGTGCGTCAGTATTCGTCATCGCGAGTTCCGTGTCGGGAGTGGCACCCGTGTCCTTCAGAACACTGTGGCCTGAAAACCGTTGAGGTAAGTGAGCAAGTAATTTAATTACAATTAAAAATCCTTTCATGTCTGTTCCCAACAAATACTCATTGTTTAAATGCCGTTGTTTCCGTGACATGGCGCCGTACATGTTCTGCCCATCTGGACAAATCTGGCGCAGTTCGTAAGAGCGATTTTGTTTCATTGTGTGGCCTATTGCCACGGTCTTGGGTCGTTTGGGGTGGGGACTGACATATTCCTTTTTATGCATTGGTATGCCAATTATGGTTTAACATAGCTGTCGGCTCACATTATGTACCACATTTCTGTTGCCCTGGATGAAGGCCTGTTTTATTTATCAACATTTGTCTGTTATACCAGCTGACAAATTATTGCAATGTGTTCCATTGAGGATTGGGTATCCAAATTGACCAGGCCAATGAATACCCATGCATCTTTTTTATGTAGTTGTGTAGTGATGGCAGAAGCAGGTGAGGCATTGGGTCAACTTTTTACCTCTTATTATCTACCCCATGCTGATTGATTTGCATATTTCTATAAACAGTTTTATTGTGATGAAGTTCAAGATAATGGTAGCATGAGATATGCCCTGTATTATATATGCATATATATATATATATATATATATATATATATATATATATAATAGATATATATAAAGCATATGGTAGGGATTCTTAGGATGCCCTCATTTTCAGGGAAGGATTATATTTATGCAATATGACACCCAATATCAAAAACTACATCTACAGGGAAATGCATATAATATGTAACAGTCATATGGAAAGGGATTATTTAAAGGCAGTACATTTTTAAGCAAAGGAAATATGGCTTGGATTAGTTGGTATCAATCATGATGCATCATGCTGATCAAAAGTTTCATTAGTTATAGCATAGCCCATTTATGAAGTCTGTGCAGTGTGGTTGGTTGTAAATGTATGCTCAGCATTTTGGGTATGTTGTATTGGTGATTATCACTGCCATGATGCCAGGATGTTTAGTTCATTATAGATCTGGAAAGACTTCATGGTTATAGAGCATAACATTATGTAGTAATATAAGATTATTTCAGAAAAAGGTTTGCACTGATTATCATGCACATGGTGCCCAAAACTTAACTTATGGAACCAGGGACATTTTTGGTACCTGCACCAATATGTTTAATTAGAAACCCTTTGCAAAATAATTATGTTTGGAAGCCTGCCACTGTCTTCTTAAAAAATTTGACAGAGAGACACATTAAGAACTTAGCACTTAAATGTTTATGTTGAGGTATTGCAGTTTCATTAAAAGGAAGCATTAAAGTTATATTGGCTGTTGGCTTTGGCAGTGAGGACTTGCTTGTCCATGGCCTGGCTCACATGCAGGAATGATGCAAGGTGTGGAGTATCCTGTTGTGTTCATTCAATCCAAGTTGTGTCATGTTTGCATAAGGTTTTTCGCCCTCCACATGATCCTATAAGGGAGGTGCAATAAGCTGTGCACGTATAGCTTGGCCTGGTAAATTTTAGAAGAATGCTCTGAATCATGGACCTCATTACCATACTCTGCCAGCTGGTGTAATAGATGCATGTAGGTTAGCACATGCTCAGGTGGGCAGTTAGCTTGACCCCTCAACACCCAAGATTTCCCCTAAATAACTTCTGGACTTCTGGATGGTGCAGCTTAGCTGCGCCAAACTGCATAGCTGTAGTCAATTAAATAGCTGATGGTTTGGTAATAGGCAAATTTTAGGTACTCTTTAGGTCACATAGGTTTGATGGTTCAAAGTCAGGGCATGGCTGTTAGTAAAGGCAGTTCCTGGGGGAATCTTTTCATTTAATGTGACAGTGGCTTAATAGATGAAGCCATATGTCTTTGGTATGGTTTCTTTGACACATATGACTATTGAATTTAAGACTGCAAATAATTTGTTGACCTTGGGTCAGGTATGATGGTCACTGTCAACCATATTGTGTTTTTATTGGAGATCTTTCTTCACTGGACAGTTTTTTACACTCATTTTGAATTTCATTATCACAGAGATGTCAACAAATGCATTTCTTAAATTTTTTACCTTTGAAGGTTAAAAATGTCAGCTCCAATAGCCTTCTGCTTAGTTGAGGTGTCTAGGATAAATGTGGTTTCATGAGGATTTCATGAGGATTTCTGAGGGAAGTTTGGAGGCTGAACTGGGGTTTGGCCTAGCTTGACCTTACATGAGCCCCAGGTATGGTTGGTGAACCCCAAATTGACATAAGTGAATTCTTATACTGGACTATGCCTTGTGAATTTTGTGCCTCTAGCTCTCTTAGTTTTTAGAGTAGCCTGTAGCCACCTACTTATCCAATTACAAATTGATTAGCAAGAATGTAAATGAGTTGAGTCATTCAAAATATGTGTACTGTGCTTTTGGTATGATATATTTATATGATAATGTGCTTTGAGTGTGAAGAAATCAGCTATTCCAGTTATGTTGATTCACTGTCCATTAATATGTCTATTTTTTATACTATTTGTTGGTGCATGCATGAGAATCATTGGTGGCAACCTTTTGAGTTCTTACTTTACAAACAAATTCATGATTTGTTGAAGCCCTCTTTGAACTTTGATTTCATGCAAATTGTCATGATATGACTGTTATAAATGGTACTGGTTTTGTAAGAAAATGCTGAGGCGTGACCTGATTGGATATGCTCGGCAGCCCATAATACTCACTTCTCATTGTTTGTAGAATACACAGAAGACTTGGGGAAGCCTTTTGAAGTCAAAAGTTCTAAAAGGCCACGCATTTTAGAGCCATACATGCATTTTAGAGCTGTACTCTCCATGATTGGTACCCATGGTGATTGATGTCCTATGTAGGACAACAATTTTTAAATGCAAGTGGCCTCTCAAAGGTTGTTGGTGGCCAAAAATTTCTGGCAACACTAGCCACATGAAAAATTTGTTAAAGGGTGTTATGGCATACCAGCAATATTGAAAAGTTCCATAATATCTACTCAGAGGGTTTGAACTGTTGTAGTGCTTTGAGCTGCATGAAGCCTCCCATTTAGTTCACATATGCAGTAATTTGGGGAACAAAAATGGTTATGCATGAGGTTCCTGGCCAATATCAGGCAGTTTGTAGCCCCAAGCAGTATCCCATATATTAGTAATATGCACTGGGGCAGTGGTTTTGATACCCTTTGCTTGGGTGGGAGCCCATATGACCCCCTGAGATCTCAGAAGCCAAGCTAGGGACACCAAATTCACAGAGTGTGTTGGCTTGTGCATGAACTCACTTGTGTTAAAATTTGGGGTTCTTGGTCATGAACATTTCATTAGGACATTTAGGTTAAATCAGGTTGAACTGGTTCAAACTTCAGATTGATGTCCAAAGTGCCCCAGAATTTAGGTATCTGTTCTAAGCAAAAGATCACTGATGCTCATCTAAGGTCAGTGGCCTCATTTGACCTTTTGATGGTCATGGTGACCAAAATAATGCAAGACCACTCTGAGTTTTGCATCCGAATAAGCATAAAAGATTGCACCAGGCAGTATGTTCCTAAAGATAAAATGTTGACCTGGGTCATTTTAGGTCAGTGATCTATCTTGACCTTTAAGAAGTCTGTTGAAGTCATATGGTGTGGTTCCTGTTATAAATTTATTTTAAAATGAGCACAAGAGACTACCCCAAATAGCGAGCTTTAGATCAATTAAACAGGTTGGTGTTGGCCCAGGTCTGACCTTCCTATTCAGTTATATTGTACCTGACCCTACTAGGGTCAGGAATTTGTTGTTTGGGCAATGGAATTTGTTCATTCAATTTGTTGTGTTGTGGACTTTGTTGTGTTGCCTAGGAAGCTATCTCAGAGATGTACACCTTTGTGTAATACTCAACTGTTACATGGGAACTTTTTCCTAGAAATCGCCGTTGCTGAATCCATGGCCTGACTTTGACCTGTTGTGGGTCAGTGACCTTTTGAGATAATAGTAATTTTGACACCAAACAATTTGCTTTTCAATCGCCTACAGTTATGTAAAATTTGGCGCCGCTACACCGCGCTGTTCGGAAACCATTCCAGAAAAAAGTGGGGGGTCAAACTGACTCTCACCCATGCACATGTTTATAGTCTGGAAATCACAACTCCATGCTATAATGTGAGCATGGCTGGTACAGTGTAAATGTGGTGCTGTTTAAGATAGGCAAAATGCTAACACAACTTGCATTAGTGCTTTCATGTTGACTTGGTTTTACATGGGATACAATTTTAACCTGATGCTTTTGCTTTGCAAATTCAAGTTCTGATGAGGAAGCAATGGTTGAAGCATTTTCTTGCTGATTATTTTACATATGGTTACCAATGTGTATGAACTCTTCTTTCATTTTCTGGAGAATGGTGTCAATTGATAAGTATCATATACACCTATAAAGCATTTCACATTTCCAGTCCTGTATGCCAGTTATTGGCTTGATCATTTGTGTTCTGGTAGCACAAATGCAGTATGGTCATTCCAGCCATGCCCACTTTTGTGGCATTTTTGGTATAGTCATAGTCAAGTTGTAAAAATGTCAAGCACATGTCTTGGATTACATGGTCAATTATTGTGCGTGACCTAGGCATGCCATGGCTTCAGTTCAAGGCTGTGTGCGAGATTTGGTGATAGCAATAGATAGTGCCATATATGTGGGCAATATCCTGCACAGAATGAGCTGAGACAGTGTATCTGGCAGGCAGTGTTATGATGCCAGTTATGGTGTAGCAGTGTCTACTACAATGGTTCCTCAGATCCTCCACTCATGTCTTTGTGTGTCCAAATTGCTGTAGTCTAATGGATTTGGCGACTGGGCAACTGGAGGATGGCTCTGTATGCATTTGGTATGCTGAATGCTGAGTGATGTGGTTGTGGCTAGGGCTCTCCCCATACAGTCATCTCCAAATTTGGTACAGGTACAGAACAATATGTACAACTGTTGGCAGCCACAGAAGTAAACATTTACAAAAGGCTGTTTTTGGGTTAAGGGTTTCTGAAATGGGGTACACAGAGAGCTCTTTAGAGCACTCCATAGACCTCGAAAATGGATAGCCCATGAATAGACCTCCATAGCCCAAAAAGTGCCCTGTAGAGTGCTGGATAGCCTCCAAAAAGGTGCTGTTTGTAGTTCACAAAATGTGTTTCATGTACTTGATGGGGAAATTTTAAATTGCAATTATATTTTGAAGCTTAATGTCCTTGCCTCCACTATGTCCTTGTATTCCATCAATTTGCCACCTGTTTATATGACATTAATATGGCTTTAGATGTCATCAAACAATATGTGCCCCAAATTTCGCCCCTCCCACGAAAATGGTAGTTCCCAACGCTCGTTTTTAGTAGTCTTTGTTGCCTTGTGCTGTCCCTTTGCTTGCGGTAATAACGCCCGCCAGCCACTTGCCCAGGAATGCAGTTTCCTATTCTGTCGAGAGGATCCAGCCCCTTCCTCCTCTAACCTTCGCTCTAGTCCCCATCCCAACTTTGGAAAAAGAGGGTCAAATCCGGGGAGAAGCCCGTTTTGACGCATTGTGGGGGTAAGCTGCAAATTTTTTTAGTTCACCTCTCAAGCTCCAGCTTTCTCAGCTCTCAGCTATGCCTCCCTCGTTTTTCGAAACTACGCCCCTGATCCTGCATGCCCAAGAAAATGCGGCCTTCTAGCGTTCCAGCATGCTATTACCAAATTGTTTGATCATGGATCATGTGGAGTGAACGTCGATTTATATCCAGCATTGTTTCAGCCAGCGACAGCCAATTCCAATTAATGATGTCCCTGGCTTCTGAGTTCATTTAAGCACATTCAGTATGCATGCCAGTTGTCCATTCATATGTTTACTGTTTATAGCCCCAGAATCATTTTTATTCTACTGTTCCCAGTAAATGTTGACTGCCGTTCAAAATTTCTGGTGATTTCGGCCCCGCGGCGTCCGTCTGTGTGATCTTACTGTTCCCAGTAAATGTTGACTGCCGTACAAAATTTCTGGTGATTTCGGCCCTGCGGCGTCCGTCTGTGCTGACGTCGTGCCGCGTCTCACGCAGTCTCGCTGCGCGGACGCCCGTCGGCATGCCGGAAGCGGTGAGGGGCTACCCGCCGCCGGCGACCGCGACCTCCGGCTCGGCACCGGCGCCGCCGCACGGCTCCGTGCCGGCCGCGATGCCGCAGCAGCAGCAGGCGACAGACTGGGCGGCGTACGCCGGCACCGGCGCGCGGGCCGGCCAGGTGCCGTCGGCGGCGGCGGAGGCGGCGCTGGCGCGGCTGGCGCCGGCAGCCGGCGTCTACCCGCCGGGGGGCTCGCCGCAGCACGCGCCCGCGCCGCCGGCCAACGGCGCCGACGTCGAAGACGCCGACTCAGGCAACCGCAACAGCATGGGCTTTCAGATCACGTCGATCACGCAGAGCAGCGCCGAGCCGGACACGTACCCGATCGACGAGTCGGGCGACGAGGACGTCTCGGACACGACCGAGTCGCGCGGCGCGCCCGAGTCGGCGCCGCGGCCGGCGCCGGCGGCCGCCGCCGACACCAGCGCCGTGGACGGCTTCCCGTCTCGGCTGTTGCTGCCGCTGGCCGGCACGCCACCGGCCGTGGCGGGCCTGACTCCGCGCGAGCTGACCGCCTCGCCGGGCGTGAGCGGCGCCGAGGTGCTGCCAGTCATCCCCACCATGGGCGGCTTCGGCATCACGCTGATGCCCGGCGCGCTGGAGGCGGTGGACGCGCACGGCGCCGCCGAGATCGTCGAGTTCCCGTCCGAGATCGAGATGGACCTGATGCCGACCGGGCTGACGGTGGGCGTGGCGCCCGGCAGCCCCGGCGACGACCTGCAGGAGACCTGGCAGAGCCGCTTCAAGGTGGTCAAGATCGAGACCAACGTGCCCTTCAAGCGCGGCCGCTGGCAGTGCATGGACTACATGGACCAGCCGGAGGCGGTGGCGCCGGCGCGGGACGGCTCGGCGTCGGGCACGTCGTCGGCGCACAGCTCGGTGCAGCTGACGGCCGGGGAGCCACACCCGGCAGCGTCCGAGGAGGCGACGCTGCCCGGTCTGGCCGACGACGGCGCGCCGGGCGGCCGCGCCGAGCCGGCGCCGACGGACGCGCCGCTCGCCGAGCCGGCGCCGGCCGCCCACCCGTCGCTCAGTGTCCCCTACCAGCCGGCGGCGCCGGGCGCCGCGCCGCCCATTGGCCGCGACCTGGCCGCGGCCGCCTCGGCGCCCAATGTGCACTCAGTGACTACGGACCGTGCCTTGTCGCTGGCGCCGGCGGCGGCGCGCACGGCGCATCCGGCGACGCTGGCGCGCCAGAGCAGCGAGCCGGCCACGCCCGAGGAGACGCGCCTGCTGGCCGACGGCGTCCCCGTGTTTAGCGCGGCGGCGGCGGCGGCGGCGCCGGGCCGGCCAGCCGAGCCCGGCGGACTCACGCTGCCCGACCTGCTGCCCAACTCCAGTCTGCTCGAGCTGGTGCAGGGTGACGCGGTCGACGACCAGCAAGAGGGAGCCGCCGACAGGTAAGTCATGTGGGCACCCCTCGCCGCTTCGACCACGGCCGCCGGCACTGGCGCGCTCTGGCGGTCCCGCATGGCACCATGCATGCTGTCTGGACGAGAGGGAGGAGAGCCTTCGCAACACTCTTGATATGCATCGGGTTATATTTTGCGACCGGACAGGCTTCAGGGAGGTTCGTGTTTTCCTTATTGAGGAAACCACAAGTGGTATGCCGTCTTCACGTTCTTCAGCGAACTGTCGATTTCGAGGCTGCCCGGTCTGGCCGATGACGGCGCGCAGGGGCGGCCGCGCCGAGCCGGCGCCGACGGACGCGCCGATCGCCGAGCCGGCGCCGGCCACTCACCCGTCGCTCATTGTTCCCTACCAGCCGCGGCGCCTGGCGCCGCGCCGCCCGCCGGCCGCGACCTGGCCGCGGCCACCTCAGCGCCCAGTGTGCACTCAGTGGTTCTCCTCCCTCCTGGAACTCGTGCCCAGCTCGTTTCGTCTTCATCTACAGTGACTCTTTCCTCTGGCACGCGCGGGGTCGAGCGCTGGGAGGCGCTGTGTTCGAACGCCAGAACTGTGGTGTCTGCTGAGCCGCCTGACCACAGGTCAGGGAGTCAGGCGCTCAAACGGGTGACCGCTTCGTATCACTTCATCACTTCATATTTTGACCATTTTAGACAGAAACCTCAATCATCATAACAGTTGGGAGGTGTGCTGTGAATCGCGCCCCAGTCACCTCGTGTAGCGTTTTCTTCAATGCGTGACGTTCCAAGAAAAAAGGCTCATAGCTTTTGCTGCGTGATTTTCCGGATAGGCGACTTATGTGGCGCGTAGCTCGCATACCTGTCGGGGTCTGACCGGTCGCATTCTGTTTTTGCGCGGTCCGCAGAGCGCCCCGACGTTTGCGCCGTTGAATGATCGCGGGCTGGGGATGTCGGCATTTATTCCGAAGGGTCGGAACACATGTTGTGACAGGATATACTGCAGGACATATTCCGAAGGGTCTGGGTAGAGATATGCTCTTTGTCATAAATGGCGAATGTGGCATGGATGGGAGGTTATTGGTTGCACAGTAACGGCTTTCAGGATATTTTTGAGCCGTTTTCAAAGTCGGTCTCCGAGTAATCCGTACCCTCAATCACCGCAAATTCGGCACGGAAACGTGAGACTTCTCGGTTAGGAGATCGTGTGGGCAAACCCGATGTCATTTGCATGATATTTATCTATGTGGGCATGACCCTGGAGCCATGCCAAGTAAATCTATGGGCAATATTAGGAGTCATACAATTGCTCACAGTATCAAAATCTGCCACGTAAAGATAATGAACCAGTAAAGGGTGTATGCTACTGATTTTCCACAGTGTCGCCATACGCACCATTTATGATGTGATCATAACTAAACCCTAATTCTCGCCCATTTTGGTGATGAATTATACTGTTATTCGGAGTTGAAAATGTGAATTTGATCATACTCCCAAGGAATGTTTTGCAAAGCTAGTTCAGGCATCTTTCCTGGGGGTTCATGGACCTAACATGCCGCAATGTCGATTTCTCGTTGGATGTGGACCTCTTTAAGGTTTAGTTTGGGCTGAATCGAGCATTGATTTTAGCAATTGTCGCTTGTTTTCGTCATTTTTTCATGAGCTGGTGTATAAGGTTTGAAAGAATCACAGATTGATTTTAGCAATTGTTGTCGCTTGTTTTCGTAATAATTTTGCTCATGAGATGGTGTGTAAGGTTTGAAAGGGCGTTGTGAAAGTGGGACGGCTGGGCTTCAGGATGGTGGGGTCCAGCCACGCCCTCCTGTCCACAGCTGGATACCATCCTACGCCCCTGATGGTCTCCTGTTCTCTTTTAATGTGGTTGGCTTTGTCATCGTGTCGTCCAAAGTGGCCTTACCAGTGCTGAAGCAGGAAGTTTCCACCACAAGGATATTGGATTTTGTGTCTGATGTCCAGACGTTCTGACCATTTCGCGGCTAGAATATGCTTTATATTTGTGATATTCGCCATACATTGTGAAGGGAGGTATGATCATAACTATTCGTGACATTCACTAAACATTAAAAAGGGAGATGATTTCTATGAAATCGTAGTTATCGTCATGATACCGGTATAAAGGGGCACTAAATGACCACCGTCGGTGCGCCCTAAGGCCCAGTCGTCATCATCACAACGATACAAGAAGTCCCACAAGTTCTGCTCCACGAATCCAACATAGCGGTTGTGCCCCACCGGGTCTTCACCTCAGCAACAGAGGGCAGAAGAGGGCGCGCTGTAGCTGGCAGTTCGGCGTTAGCGGTGTCAGTTATGTGGGCACGTGGGTAGTGGCGGCGTGTCGGGCACCGTTCGGTCGCTGGCACGCCTGGCGCCTTATAAGGCGACCCGGGCCGGATGCCGACCGGTGTCGGTCTGCGCGGCTCGTGAGTCATCTCCGCCGCCGTGCACCAGTCCAGGAAATGCCGCGTGCAACCGCGCGGTGTTTCGCTCCGTCAGGACATTGTGCTCCATATAGCTCCTGCTCGCGTCTTTTAATGAAATGGGCCTGTTCAGCAAAAGACGCGCCACTTATTTATTTAGTTGTTGAGTTACCGTGGTCATTGTTGAAAAGTAAGTGCGAGCATGTATGATATTTTTACGATCGTGAGCGTATTTTTTTGCGGATGCTCCTTTTTGTGAGCGCCAAATTGGTGATGTGGCTGGCACATATGAAATGGGATGTATTATGCGCATGCGCACCGGCAGTGCGCTTCAAAGTTATCGATCAAAACGTTCCGTGACGGAATGGAGCGCCTTGCAGTGTTGCGGGAGAACTGCCTGGCGCTCTTCGTGGTGTTAGGCAACTTTATCATACGAATATGCTAGATATAGACATGAGTGTTGACAACTTTATTTTATAACGATATTTTGTTTGGAATTGTATCAGTGTGCAAAGGGGATGACCCCTTGGCGCACAAAATGATGAGTTATTCTTCACAAACTAAGTGCAGCTCGGTCCATAATGGTAGTTTGGATGTACTTGTAGCCCGAATGGCATTGTAGCCTGGATGCAACTGTAGCCCGGATTATTTAGTCTTAATGTTCAGGAAAGATTCCATGAAGTCAGGGTCGTTGTGTTATTTTTCGATTCCGGTTGTTTTATTTCCGCAAAACACTCCGTTAGATGGCCGTCGTCACAACGATTCGCTGGACCGATAAAAGGATATGACATATATTTGTGGAGTCATGTTGGGCCATTGTTTATGGTCCGTTTATCATGACTCGGTGTTTTCGGCTTTTTCTCCACGCCGTGAGGCCTGTACTAGAAATGACGTTGAATTATGAGCGACGCAAACTATTCGTTCTTTGGTGTTAATAATTACAAGGAAACAATACAAAAACAGTGAAACGAGGTATCCGCATGCCTTGCATGCATAGTGCATTAACTGGAGCTGCCGAATTTTCCTTGCTGGATTATTTTTTTTAAAGTACTCTACATACGCGGCATAGCTCCCTTGCCATTTGAGTTGGGCCAGAGGAAGATCGATTCCTCTTCCCATGCACTGTCATGGGTCCAGTATTATATGTTCCCGGATGCTGTGTTTCGATCCCACACTAAGCCTTTCTGCCCGCACACTAAAGGCACCGTTTCTGGTTGAATTCCAAGAGTGGATGCAAATGGTGGTGGACCCTCCTCCGTGGGATGCATGCGATCAATAACCTGTTTTTCAGGTTGGAGATTTTCGGGCTTTTGGTGCCTAGCGGTGCCTTTTCCCCGGGTTTTGAACTAGCATATTGGATTAATAAACGCAACACTGTAAGATTACCTAAGATGCAGGTGTGCTGTGCCCAGTAATCTTAAATTCTCCGCCTCGGCATAAGGTCATTTCCTGTCGCTTGTTTGTGTGGCTAGCGTCACGTCATCTACTGTCAGTCCTCTATTCCAATACCTGTACGGTCTGGTGGTCCCAATGTACGTTCTCTGGTCCCCGGGTGGTTGTTTGGTCCTAGTGCACGTTCGGTGGGATGTTGGGAATGCAGTGAACTCCCGCTGGGTGTCATTCTCGCCCCTCGCTCTGCCCTGATTGCGGTGTATCGAGTGCACTCGGGTCAGAGCGATGTCGGGGTCTGCTGACCCCGAGTGCACTCGGTGTCAGCAGATCCCGTCAGTCTCGGGGACTGACGGGATCTGCTGACGTAGGAAGCCGTGTGCAGGTCCGCATGACACGCTGGTTCCAGTTTCCACTCGTTCATGCGAAGCATATCATTTCGTGACGTTTCGAGCCTCTGAGCTGTATTGTTTTTCAATGTCCATAATTAACAGTGGTGGCGCCAGCTCCCTGGCCAGCTGACACACCATGGCATGACATGACACGACATGACACACCATGACACGCCACACCACCACACCACCAGCTGAACGGGACCTGGCCATCCAGACAGAGGCATGTCCGTGGCCGATAAACGCCTTTCTTTGCACGTGCTCTCAAGCTAATTAAGGCATCAGTTTGCGGTCATACATCTTGATTGCGTACCCTGCTTACTCGAACCGACGCCACAAGCAATGCCATTTGTCAGTTTGGGTTGTGAGTCGAATGTGAGCTCCAGTTCTGGTTCAAATTCCGGTTGCGCCATGGCTCCTGAGCGCTACGGCCAGCGCAGTCGCCGACGCTCTGTAAAAGGGGTGGACGACGTGCGTCCCGTGCCTTTCATAAAAAGTCGTATGTTTGCTGGCATTGTCTCAGGACAAGGACCATTTTCCTCCGCGCTGTTCATTCACGTGGACGGTGGCCCTTCTTTGGGGTGAGTGTGGCAGCTAAAATTGTGTCGTGGTTGCCAAGCGTCATGAAATATGGAGGCCACCGGGTCCCGGTCAAATTGGAAAGAAAGACAAAGACGTGCGCCGATGATGAGGCATACGATTGGGCTTATTGGAAAAGTTTGTAGTGAGCGCATCCTGCGATGCTGACAAAACGGGATGCTAGGCACAGTAATTCTCTCCCCCTCGCCGCCGCAACCCAACTGTTCGATGCGACTTGCATCGTTGTGATATGGCGCATAATGTTAATAGTGATTGCTGTTCAAATTATATGCATATTTGTATGGTATGCCTGATACGAATGCGGTACAGGTTATTAATATCACAAACTATCAACCTTAGCTTAGAACAGTTGACAAGTTGAGCCTGTGATAATTTATGTACACAACCCGTAACGTGCCACTGGGAGAACTTCACGGTGTGAAGAGAAAATATGGCATTGGTGCGGGATGCGGTTTCATTTCAGCCGTTTTTCCATCTCTCCACGCGTATTATTGACTAGGATGAAGTAACAAGCAGGTCGATTGAAGCACACCTATACACGAAGGAGTGATTACGCGGTGCGTACGGGACGGCTCTTGAGTCGAACTCTAAGCCACAAACGCCGCGCGCGCCGACCCGGCTCGGCTCTGGCTGGCAGCGGCCGGCCTCTGGCCACCTCCTCCCGGACTCGCCCGAGGGGCCTGTCAGAACCGCGCTGGTCCGATGCCAAGCGTATCAGCAGGCGACAAGTGTTGATTTTCACGGTCAGGTGTCACGAAAGTCACTAGTTAGTGATTAGTCAGTCGGCCAGTCTGACCGCCGCGTTATGGTACTCCCGCGGATTCGGTGCGAACAAGTAGTTGTGGGTCGGAACAGTAGATGGCGCGCGCGTCATCTTACGGGTGGTGGACGCGGTTGGGGGAAAACATTAAATGCCAAAGGGTATAGTCTCGTGATACGAACTACGATTATGTTTGTAACGGTGAAAATGGTCTCATGATTTTCTTGGATGCCTCCCCCTAGTTTGTCAAAACTTTGCGTACATTTTCGGATTGTTGTGTAGTCTGTTCGTGCAAAGTATTTGAAAAACGCGCTCGCTGTTGCAGACTTCTGCCGAATCTCGTGAAAAGATGTACACCGATCGTTAGCAGTGTGTTTGACACGTTATGAAAGAAGCCGCGGCGCGAACCGTTATAATGTATACATTTGCTCAAGCTGAGAGCGGGGTGGCGAACGAATTTAAGCCCGGTCGGGCTGAATGTAGGAAACGGTATTTAATCATCAAGTTTGGCGCACTCAAGGCATTTCGAGCGCAGATGGGCGCACGCTTAACGATATGTCGAACAGGGATTCCGGATAAACTGTGATGAGCATGGAGTAGCGAAATTACCCGCCAACGTCCGCAAATTCCTTCGGTATTGCAGGCAGTTGGCCTGCCTCGCCAGGAATGCGTTTTTCTTGATTCTGCACTTGAGAAACGAATTCAGTCGGTATTTGTAGAATTTATTATCGTTTTGGGCCTGCCTGTGCTGACGCCAGGTGACGAGTTGTCTGGAGGTAGTTGTAGGCAGGTGATGCGTCGTCATTTTCCGGATGCGTGACGAGACTATCGGATGCCAATTTTAGGAAGCCATGAAATACCCTCGCAACCTAATACCCTTCAACACCAAACTCGTATTTTAACTGTATTGCGAATAGCCTGGCTACTCGAGCAGGCTCGGGTCTGGGACTGCCGCCGGGCTGTCGGCTGTGACGCGCACTGATGGCTGACAGACGCGGCAAGCCCAGGGCCGGACGGGGCGGGGTGGAAACACAGGATATAACGCCGTATGAGGATGATCGGGCGGCCGGCGGCGATAGGGCTGGCGGCAGGCGTATATCCGGCCTTGGCGTCCTGGCTTCGCGGGGCCTGAGTCATTGTTTGGGCAGCCCGACACTGTCATTGCCTGCCGGGTTCGGTCGGGCGCCTCCTTTGATCGGCTGAATTATATCCCGTCTTACTCCCGGCCCAGGTGGTTTTTTGGTCGTTTGCCGCGCGCTATGTGGGTTTATGAGGCTGGTGATCCGGTCTGACGTCGAACGGTCGATGCCGGCCCGGCTTAGGCCTCCGGTCGGACCGCCTGCTCCAGGTCGCTGGTCGTCTGTTCCGGGCGGTCGCTCGATCCGCCCTGGTCCGGTGCAGGCGGCTCAGCACGGTGCCTGTCTTTGGTCTGTCATACTCTGGGCCGGTCTGTGGCCTGTCGTACTCTGCGCCGGCCTGTGGTCTGGCGCACCCTGTACAGATCTGGCCCGTCACACCATCTGTGCCGGGCTGTGCCGGCGCAGCGTGCAGCCGATCTGTTGCGGTGCTCTGGTGCCGGGCGTCGCGCGCCTGCTGCCGCCGGGCCCGGCCGGCCGCGCTCTGAGCGTTGACCCCGTCTGAAGAGCGAGCGGCGAGCGGCGCCGGCGCTGCAGCGGCCGCTGACGTCACACGTCTGACCAGCGGGGTCAGCCGAGCCATTAACGGGCCTCGGGCGGCGGCGGGTGGGCGGCCGCTGCGCCGGGCGCCGACACGGGGGCGGGCCGGGCCGGGCGTGACCGAGGCTGGCGGCAGGGACCGCTCCCGTGCTCGCTCCTGACGGGTCGGCGGCCCCCCAGTGTCACTCCAGAGCCACGGGCACGGCTGACGGCGTTGCCTGGACGGTCGGTTCGCCAGCCGGTGTGTCTCGGCTCGGAATGTGACCTTGTTCCTCGTGCTGAAATCTGAATGCGACGCCTGAGCCACCGCTTGGCCTTCACTCACTCTCCCGGTCGCGCATGCAAACCAATTTGGTAACATGTCATCCATCTGAATAAGGAGTGTTGATGCCTGCAGTCTTGCCATCTGATACAACTGTGATAGTCGCAGCGGTTCGATTTATCAGTTAAGTCATGCATAGCCATAACTTGCCATACTTCACATTGCCTCGCTGTCTGTTTAACGCAGTGTGTGTGAAAGTATGCGAAATATCCGCCAAAGCTTGATCCGTGCCGGTCTACCACAAACACACCCTACTGGAGCTTGACATGGATTAATGTCGATTTCTTTTTTCTTTCAGGTGAGTGCTGAGCTGTGACATCCTTGGTGGTAAGCAACATGTGACAGGATGCTCACATTTTCTCTGATATCATAACACGTTATCATGCCTTGCATACGCGCAGGACCTCTTACGGACATGCCTCCTGTGTTTCACATCCTGGCGCCAGCTGGAGGTGCCGGGTGGATAGGCGTGGTGCGCCGCTCGTGGTTCTCCCGCGTGTGGCCGTCTGTCGTATCGCGGTGTCGGTCCGCCGTCGGTGGTGCGGGTGGGTCGGGGCCGGGCCGGCGGCCGGCGCGGCGGGCCGCTAACGCGCCTGCCGCCCGCCGCCTGTCCACAGCAGTTTCTCGGGTCTGGCGCGCGCCCTCTCCACAGGCAACTTCACCTTCCTGAGCTCGTCGCCGCCGGCCGACGCCGGGCCCATGGTCGAGGCCAGGTAGGCCGGCGTGGGCGCCGTCCGCCGCTGCCTGACCCGCCCTGACCTGGTGTGACCCGCCCTGACCTGGCGTGACCCGTCCGTCTCTGCCCGCCCCGCTCTCCGCCTAACCGCACCGGCCGGGCCCGCACTAACAGGCCGACGCCGCGCGCCCGCTCGGCGTCGCCCGCTGAGAGTGAGCGTGTGTGTGTGCGTGTGTAGTGGCGGCAGCACGCGTTCCCACTAACCGCCCGTGCCCGGTCGACGGCGGCCGCGGCCGGTGACGCCGTGACCCCTGCGCCGCCTGAGCACCGGGCGGGCTCGGCTCATTCATGGCCATTGGGTTTCGACCGTCGCGTTGAAGTCCGGTGCTAGTTGACAGTTTCTGGTGAAGATGCCCTCTGATGCGAATTTGCAGAGGCTTTTTTCCAGCAACACTTTGTTGAAACCGGTCGGATGCAGAATGATACACGAAGTCGACACGCCCCAAACCTTTACAATAAAATGTGATTGTTTCAACGGCGTGGATGGAAGCACTGGTTAATGTATCTATAGCGTTCTCAGTACTAATCTCGGTAGGTCGGTGTTCTTGGGACCGGAATCCTCTGCCTTGTTAGATTCGGGCTAGTTTGCTGAGGGGAAGGTTTATTTGATTTAAGAATGAGGGACTGATTGGGATCTTCCGTTATCCATATTAGTCTTTCGGCCGAAAATAACCAACTTTCAGCATGCCATGAGGCCACAGATAAGTTTAGGCATCAGGCAGTCGTTGGCATATGTAGCGAAAATGATTACTTTTCCAATAAAGCTCTTCGTCTTGAGGAGCCCGAGAGCACGGCTGGAAATGGCATGCATTTTCTAAATGTATTTGAATGTTCGCCCTCTACCTTTTAATCATAATATTTCGGTGTATTGAAGGTCGTTTATTTACGTCATACCAAAAAGAAGAAAAGCGCAGTTTGATCGCGTGACGTCACTAGGACATTTGGTGTTTGCGATGGAGTAGTAATGAGTGAGTGCTCATCCTGAGAACGTCGCATGCGTCGCTGCAGTATTGTGTTCTCCTGGTTGGTCGACATGTGTCATACTGTCCAGAAACGTCTCTTTGTTGACGAGGAAATGGTTTTACCTGTGATATATGGCCCTGCAATTTGGGGAGATGTATTGTTGGATTAACAGTCGCTTTCTTTTCCACTATGGTAGGAAAACATTCGCCAATATATGAACAGAAAGCCGAATTTTGATCTGGTGGCAATGCCCTTTATGTTATATTTTTCTGAAGATGAGCGCGACGTGATTGCGGAAACGAAGGTGAAACGAAAAGAAATGATGGAAACCTCCAAAGATATCAACAAAAAGGAAGATAATGGCTACAAATGAATGGGTCGTGTAGTTGACATTTGAGGCCAGCAGGGTTGGTGTCTGTAGAAGAGATCCTCTTAGTCACGCCAGCCGCAATCCAGAGTGTCTTTCTTAGCAGCTCTGTTTTGGTAGTGAAGAGAGAAGACGCGAGCTATCAATTGTCTTCTCTCCGCAGGATGTTAGTGTGAACAACAAACGTTTTCGTGATCTTGACACCAATAATGCATGTGCAGGTGATGGAAGCGAAAATAACGAAGGGGAAAAAGTAAAGGGAGCAGGAATGGGATGTAGACCGAATCGGGGAAGCGCACATGTCCACGATAAAGAGGGCGAGGTGTGGGATACGGGTTAGATAAGCACAGACGGCTGTTCGACAATGGCTCGCGGCGTTTGACATTCTTGACTGCCTCGGTTCGCGAGGTCGGCAGTTTGAACCGGCTTCCTGGAATAAAACGAATGTCCGCAAAACTAGGACGGATTATGCGAAAAGTATCGATGGTGCCTGAGACCAAAAACTTTTAAATGACAGGATTTTTATCTGTGCTCAGCCCAGGTGGACAGGTCATTCGCCCGTCGGATTCTGTTATATGCAACGAATAAAACCCATTCACTTTAAGCACAACTCATGCAAGGCCAAAGAAGATTGTATGGTGAGCCGTGGGCCTTTTGGAGATAACGCCCAGTAGAACTTGATGGCACCGAGCTGACACTCCTGGCACATTGGAAAGTGCAAAACCATTCACTGTTGGGAAGACAGCAGTAACGAGCACCTTCATAGACTGGGGATTTGCTGCAGAATATGCAACCCAAATACGTGGTGAGTCTGGGGAAATGTGGCAAGCGGCGGGGAGAATGTTTCCAGTGCTGTTTCTGTCATACTGCTTTTCTCAATCACTTACCTGTGCTCCATGTGTAGGGAATGTCTTTTAAAGTTATGGCATTACCAGCTTCCTTATATCCAGTGGTGGATTGCGTGGTACTTTCAGTGCCGCCTGGAATTTAGGCGCATATACCGGACGTTTGGCCGGAACCTGAACGCTTTTTGGGTGGGTTCGTTGCTTTTTGACCCCACATTTTTCATGACATGTGCGGTATCCGATCTTCCCTGGTAGCGTGATACAGATTATCGATTGTTACGCTTTGTGGTAGGAATGAGGTGATTTTTTACAAACGATACGAAACGATGGGCTTGCCATCGGCACGAATGATAACGAAATATCGTTCTACCGGTGGGGCTGGCTCGCCGCATTGTCACCCTACCAGGTGGCAGCGTGGCAGGTTCACCATTGTCCGGTGTAGTCGGCCTCCACCGATGATGCGACTGTCCGGTCCGTCCATTGGTCGTCGCGGCGTGACGTGACGCCGGATAGCGGGCCGCGGTGGCCACTCCGGACCGGTCCGGGCGCCGGGGGCGTCACGCCGGCCGCGCCGCGCCATCGGACGCCGCTCGGTGATCGCCTCCCGCCGTCGCCAGCGGACGCACGCTGCTCTCGTATTCGGCCGTGTACAGTCGTGTTCGCCCCGCGTCGGGAGGGGCGACGGCGACGGCGTGGCTGGGCGCTCGCCTGTAATCGGCGGGGGACAGCCGAGCGCGTGAGCGTGGTGCGGTGTGAGCGCGGCGGGCCACCGTGCGGCCGTCTGCCGTGGCAGCGCAGAGGGTGGTCGTCCACATCCCGGCGTCGCTCGGCGCGGCGTCGCTCGGCGCGGCCGGCGATGCGCCCGATGCGGGTCGTGGCCGGCGCTAAGGACGGCCAGCCGCCGCCGGCCGCCGCCCCTCGCCGGCACGTCGCCGACGCCCGCTGTCTGCTGGCCGTCTCCCTCTTCGTCCGAAAGCACGTCAGGTCAGTGGGACTGGCGGAGACGCAGCAGCGGCGGCGGTGGTGCAGGCTAGGCGCGGACCTGAAGCACCACCGGGCTGTTCAGGCATGGCTGGATGGTGAAGGAAGCCTTGCATGGTCGTCAGGATGCGACGTTGATCCCTGGTCAGCTGATGCACGGTCGGCTCAATTTATCGTTGGACGATCGGTTCACGAGTAGTCCACTTCATCCGTGGTCTTCAGGTTTTCAGTTGCAATATGGCTTCACTCCATGTCTGGTCCATGGAAGTTTGCGGTGGTCGTGGTAGATGCGTCGTCATTGCTGCCGATGGGGCGATGCTGCTCGTCCTGACACTCGATGGCGACTGTGAAGCTGAGGTTTCACCTCAAGCTGAAGCGCACCTGACCCGTCCGCTCCGTTCGCCTATTCGCCGATAGCACGGCCGCGTGCGGTCACACAGCACACGTGCTGCCCGGGCCGTACTCGGCTGGTTTGTTATGTGCAGCTAGTGGCCGAGCAGGCCAGCGTCGGTGCGCTGCGCCGGTGACTGCGCTAGCGGTACCCGGCCGCCGGACAAGACCACGCCGCTGACGGCCGGCCGGGATCGCACCGGTCAGCTCGGCACACTGCAGCCGGGCTGACCCCCTTCCGTCCGCTGCATCGCTTCCGGTATTTTCACTTTTGCGTCATCTGCACACTCGTGTCAGATGTCCGTCGCAGCCGTGTTCGAGTGTCGCAGCGAGAAGCCGCGTTCAGATCGTGAAAACAGCGGGCGTCGGCGAGATTCGAGCCTGCGGCTGCGGGGCTCTCGGCCAAGCGCCGTCCCCGGATCGCCGCGTCACCGGTTTGTTTTGAGAGAAGCCGGCCGGCGCGGCTAAACAGCCGAGGAATGCGGCGCAGCGGCGGCCTCCGATGGGCGCCGCCGGCAGAAATAGCCGGCGAGGAGGAGAGCGCGCGCGGCACGCGGCCTGAGCGAGCGCCGGCGGCGGTCGACCTTCAGCCGCCGGCGGCGGCCATCGATCGCCGCGGGCTGCGCGGCCGGCCGGCCCGCGCGCCCACTCGCCGCCGTGACCGGGTCAGGTCAGCCGCGCGCCCAGGCGGAGCGCCAGCCACGCCGAGTGCCGCCGGTCCGTGTGCAGTGTGGTGGCCCGTGGCCGGCACGTGCCGTCGCCTCGGATGAAGTTGGACCTGCTGCGCCAGCTGTCGCTGACAGTGATGGGTCAGGACGGCCCGGACGCCAGGACGCCCTGGCTGCCGGACAAGGCCGCCTCCGCGGACGTCAGGTGCGCTGCAGCCGCGCGGCGGCGGACGGCAGCGGGCCCTCTCCCTTGCGCTCGGGCGGGGGCTGTCTCTGCGGACGTCAGGTGCGCTGCAGCCGTGCGGCGGCGGACAGGAGCGGGCCCTCTCCCTTGCGCGCGGGCTGGGGCTGTCTGTGCGGGCGTCAGGTGCGCTGCAGCCGCGCGGCGGCGGACAGGAGCGGGCCCTCTCCCTTACGCGCGGGCTGGGGCTGTCTGTGCGGACGTCAGGTGCGCTGCAGCCGTGCGGCGGCGGACAGGAGCGGGCCCTCTCCCTTGCGCCCGGGCTGGGGCTCTCTCTGCGGACGTCAGGTGCGCTGCAGCCGCGCGGCGGCGGACGGAAGCGGACCCTCTCCCTTGTGCGCGGGCTGGGGCTGTCTCCCTTGTGCGGCGGTCGCTGCACAGGGCTAACGTGTTCACACGAACACAGCCTGAACCCGCGCGGTTTGCGGGTCGCGTGCGTTTTTCCCGATTGATTTAGTAACATACGACGGTCACTAGCTGTAGACTTAGCTGTCTGCGTATGGCGCGTGCTATCGAGAAGTTATGGGTAGGCAAGGTCCTCTGCTGGGCCGCGGGGCCGAACGGTCCCAGTCCATAAACTGGTCTCGAGTTTGTAAATAGTTTTCTTCGTTAGATTCACTGAAGGCGCGACTGGCATTGGTTTGTCGCCGCGGCATGAGTATTGCGATTGGAACTGCACTGGATCTAACGACCTGTGGAAAAAACAGGATGTGTGTGATTGGAAGGCGCCGTATGTGTTTATGAACTGGTACCGCGCCCGCTTGTCCAAAGCACGGGCGTCAGTCGCGCAGTTGGCTGTTTGGCAGTGTATCGTGCTTTATATCAAAGCAGCGCCGCGCGACTCGGACAAACGGGTCGTGGCACTAAATTTTTTAAAAGGTCGCGAGAACTGGTCTATAAGTCGGTGCCCCACATGCATATTTCATCGTTCTGTCGAGAATGTATTTCCATAAAAGGTTACGAAGAGGGCAGGCATAACACTGGAATGAGTTTAGACGTGGTAAATGGTTGTCAAGTGTGCAGGAGACATGTGCAGGATAAAGAGGCGGGGTGCTGTCGGAGCACCTTGATTTAGCAAGATCAGATTTGCCGGAAGGTGCCATGCTGCCGGTTGCTACCACTATTGTGGTTTCCGGCAGCCTTTAGAAAGGCTGCTGGAAAGGCTTTCTAAAGGCTCCGGTGCTGCGTGTATGGATGCTTTAAATATGAGTGTATAACACATATTTTTTCATAGTACTCTGTTTTTCCTAGTTGTTATTTGCTCATTTTTCAGAGTTGGTGTATGGGCTGTCGTTAAATTGTCGAGTAACCAACATCTTGTTAATGCGTTTTTCAAGAGTAATTCGGTGAGTTTCGCGGGAGAGTTATGCACATTCAGGACAGCCATTTGAACTGCCTCTTCTAATTGCTGGTGACCGAGTATGTGCGGTACGGGTCGCACGGCAGACACCGGCACTCCTGACAGCCAGGCACTCTGGAGCCACCGGCACTCCTGACGGGCAGGCACTCAGGGGCCGCCGGCACTCCTGACGGGCGGGCACTCCGGGGACACCGGCACTCCTGACGGGCAGACACTCAGGGGTCACCAGCATTCCTGACGGGCAGGCACTCCGGAGTCACCAGCATTCCTGACGGGCAGGCACTCAGGGACCATCGGCGCTCCTGACGGGCATGTACTCCGGGGCCGCCGGCGCTCCGCTGACCCGTCAGGGGGCGAGCGGTGCCCGCTGGACTGCCCGGCGCAGTCTAACGGCCAGGGGCCGCTGTGGCCCGCCTGGCCCCGGCCGCTGACCGGCGCCATCAGTACGTCACGCCGTTGGATGCCCCGCGGTGCCCGCGCTCACTGCCCGCACTGCCCGCACTGCCCGCACTGCCCGCACTGCCCTCACTGCCCGGGTGAAAGGCAGGCGGCGATATATAGCCTGAGCAGCTGAGCGCGTCGTAAAGCCTCAATGAGACATACACGTCACAGCCGCTCCAACAAGGCGGCGGTCTGCCCTGTCTTACGCAAGGGAATGCCAGGCATCGCATCAGTTATACGAGCGCCGAGCACACTCATGAGTACCAGGGTCCCGAGCCAGTTGGCTAGGGTGCGACTCGCTTTCAGCTATGATCTATGATCGATATTGTATGGTGGAAACATGCATTGGTCCACTCTCCCCGTGAATCACTGCTGTTCGCGTCCCAGTGGGCGCATTGGCGGTTTCGTCCATGCAAACGCGGAACCTGGAATTTATTAAGTACGTCATGTGAGCTGCGTACGCATGTTGCAAAATTGAGGCGGTCCTTTGCGTGGGGTGAATCATTGTTGATCCATTCCCTCTCAAATCGCACGTTTCTTCCATACTCCGCCTCGTGATCATCCCGCGCTCGTTGCTCAAGAAAGGTCATTTGTAGTAATGAAGCATATGGACATTGAGACCTGCGAGATGGGGCTGCGTCGTGGCATTGTTCGCACCGGGCTTCGTTCCGGTGTTTCTGGGACTGCCTGGCAGGGTGCTGTCAGATGTAGGCGACTTTAACGTTTGACGCTCATGCAGTGAAGGAAACCCCGTTATTTCGACACGATTGGAGCAGCTTAGACTCCTGTGGAGCCGAATTCATATAAACAACGCAGAATGCATGCTGTTATGCCGAGAAAGTACTAGTGCGTGGCTTTCAACCACACCTCTTGAATTTTGAAGGACCCGATCAACGAATGGGGCGCTAGATCGCCGTTTGCTCAAACTACGTACGTGGCGCCTTCCGTGTGGGCAAAATGAACTGCCCGAATGGCCAGCTTTGGTTGGCACATGTGGCGTACCTGTGAACTTTGTTTGACTAAACTGAGCTGACCTGAGACGGGCGGGCGCTCTCGCTCCGCGCGCCGCGCCGACTGCGCCGCATTTGCACTGCGCCGCGCCGACTGCGCCACGTAGTGCGCGGCAACGCCTGCGCCGTGCTGACTGTGCGGCATAAGCACTGCGTCCTGGAACGCGTCATTGCAGTTTCCCGGCACGTGCTTTTTGTTGAGGCGCTGTTTCTCTTCTGACAGCCAAGTGTTTCGAGTTTTAAGCCGAACGCTGTCAGTGGAAGTGGCTGGTGACGTGTCATCGCCGGAAAGGTGGGGACCTGTCGGCCGCGCTGTCTACGAACTGTGGAGCTGGATGATCGAAAACGGTTTCGAATAGGGTAGAATGTCAAAGAGCTAATGGCATGGTAAACCGTGTTTCTCTTCACGCTGCAGTGTAGCCCAACGCTTGTTCTTTCTAATGCAACCCTTTTGCGGTAAATAAGCATGGTGCCCTGTATTTTTGTTGTTTGTCGTGCTCACTCCAGGGCTGTTACCAGCGACTCTGGCTTTGCGTTACTGGTCAGGCCGATCCGATCTGATCAGCTGATGAGATGATGTTTTTGGACCCCACGTCGCCACGTGCGCCGGTGCGGGCCGAGGCTCGCTGCCGACCGGCGCCTGATCCGCCGCAGCTACGCCAGCAGCTGCTGATGCGTGGTGACGATGTGACTCTGGTCCCGGCCGTAGCCGCGGCAGGCGTCTCTCGTGCGCACGCCGCGTGCTGTGCGGGCTCTTCGCGGCTGTGTAGTACGCTCGGTGACGATGGCGCAGGCCGTTTGATGTTGGGTGTCTGTGGCCAGAGCGTGCGTGGTGGGTGGTGGTGGCGTCAGGTGGGTGGTTGCTCAGGTTCGCGGCGGTGAGCGACATGCCCGGCACCTGGCCGCGCTGGGCCGCGAGTGGCGCCACCGGCGGACGACGGGGGTGGCGGAGACGGCGGTCTGCGCCGGGCGCCACCGCACCACCCCCGGGTGGCGAGCGTGGTCCGGTCCGGCGCCGTCACGCTGGCCAGGCCCAGAGGTGACCCGGACCGCGACACTGCGCCCAGCCGCCGCCCCGCGGCCCTATCCAGGCAGGCACCCGTCTGTCGGCCACGGAGCGGCCGGCGGCCGGCGGTCCGCGCATGGTGGGCCGCTGCTATGTAGTGTGGTGCGGTCGTGCTACCGTGCCCCCGTGCGAGGGACTGCCGCTCGCCACCGCCCTCACGCGGCGCTCGTCTGTTTCAGCACGTCGCCGGGCGGCAGCGGCGCTGTAGACAAGGTGGAACCGATCGACAACAAAATCGAACAGGCCATGGTGAGTACCTGCCGTTACGTCCCGCTCAATGGACTCCCGAGGGCTCTCCCCCCCCCCGCGGACCGCACACTACGCGGGTCAAGGCCGTCGATGATGGCACGGTATTCCCATTAGTTGCTATGACGATGGTTTGCGGGGCAACTTTTACTTTGTCGCATCGCCAGCTTTTTAGATGCTTGAGAGCCCACCAAAACGTGCTAGTTTCATGGCCAGTACGTGGAAATCTTTGTGAACTCGTTGTTCCCTGACAACTTAAATGCTTGACCCAGTCATGAAACGTTAACTGTGGCCTTGGTGCAGCCGCGCTGTAGAATGAGGACATGTAAACAGGGTGAAACGGGCTCACAAATAGCCAAATGACAAACAACCAGCAGCTGCTACTGCAGTAAGGTGGCGTCGCACGGTGAACAGTCGGAGAGCTTCGGCCGCCAGGGCGAGGTGCTGCCAGAAAGTTCCGTTAAGTGCATTTCGTTCCTAGAAAGTGGCCCGGTTCAGGTATCCGGAATCAGGTGATCAATGCCTTTGTGACGTGCGAGTCTTCAGATCTGTCCGCCAGCACAGCGACGGAAGACTGCGTTGCAGGAATGGAGCGGGGCCTCTGTCGATGGCGGAGGGCTCTGGCTTTTGACTTGTTGCGTGTCGGTTGTAATTAAATCTGGGCTGACAGATGTCTGCCTCCGGCCTGCATCGAATTCTTTCGCTTTATCTACTCGTGTCGGAAGTAACAGAAGGCTTTTATTGCTAACCTGCGGTCCCAGTCTGGACCGTGGTTGTCATGCGTCCCCGAAGAAGTGGTTTTCCGCCAGCCGCGGCGGCCTCGGAGCGGGACCGCAGCCCGGCCGGCCGGCGCTCCGTCGCCGCCGCGGCGGCCGTCACCTGGCGCAAGCCCGGCCCGCCGGCCGGGGTCGGTCGCCGGTGTCAGCTGGGCTGGGGCCGCCGGACACACGGACGGAAGCGCTGTCCGGCCCGGCTCGCGTGGTGACGCCACCGGCTCGGCCCGTGGGCGAGCCTGTGACGTCGCTGCGGTATTATGACGTCACACTCTGCGGTGCAGGGATCGCTGCAGCTGCAGACTGGCGAGATCCGGCCGGTGCAGGCAGCGGTGACGTAGACCAGGTGACGTCACACTCGACAGCGGAAGGGTGATGTCACCTTGACGTCACGCCTCGGCCGTGGCCCCCCAGACCGGATGGTGTGCGGTCGGAAAGCCGTCGCGCTGGGAAATCCGGCCCGGCTGCTATCGCTGCCGGCCGCTCCGTTGGCAGGGAGAACGCGCGGTCTGAACGATCTCAGGACACCGAGCCGGCGTCACGGGCTGGCTGGGCCAGGCTGGACGACGGAAGGGCGTCGCGTAGTTGCGTATTTTCCGCGTGGGCAAAAAACACGATGGCTCATCTATGCCACAATTGGTAGCGGTGGTCCGTGGTGCGGCAGCTGTTGCCGCCGCGTAGGTCTCGTCCGATCACACTCATCAGTGGCGGGAGGCTGGAGGGGACTCTGTTGATGGTGCGTCGGCGGATGAATGTCCTATTAGGAGGGGGAGACAACGATGAATATGCTATGAGGTGGGTTAGAGGTGCGGATCGCAGCGCGTGATACCGCCTGTCGCCGGCAGGGCGGGGCAGGTCATTTGGACCTCCCGACCACACCTGTTTGGAGTGCAGCAGTCGGCACAGCGAGCAGTGTCGCTCCGGCGCGGGACTGGCGACCTCGCAGTTAGCCCTGTAAATCGCTAACGTCTAGCTGTGATGAAGTCTTGTCTTATTCACGCGCAGCCGTTCCCCTGGACGGAGGTGTGCAGTGTCCGTTCGGTGGGTCTGTCGAGGCATGGCGGGGCCCGGCCGGTCCGCCTTGCGTTCGCCCTGGATGGAGGGGAGTGGTGTCCGCTCGGTAGGTCTGTCTAGGCGTAGAAGACTACAAGCATCTTCAACATATTTGGAGCAGTGCGGCAGTTTTGAAAGTTTATATCAATAGAAATGATCCTTTCACAAAGCGAGAAGGATATTTTATTTCACCAAACACCAATTTTTATTAAGGATGGATATGTAAAAAAATATCTGAGCGTCATATTAAATGGTGGACGTTGACACACTATATCCGGTTAACCGTTTGACCGACATATTACGTGGGAGAAAACATTTTGTATTGGGCGTCATTGGCTTAGATTTTCTTGCGCGTCACAGACGCGGACGAATGTCAAGTGGAATATTCTGGGCGCAAAATGACCACTGCAGTCTACGCGCCCGAAAACTCCAATGAACAACAAATCAAGTGGAATATTCTATGGGTACCCGCCCATTGGGGCATTGCAATGCAATGCGTGACAGTCGGCGTAATCACAAGGCGCCAGACTGGCTGCACGGCACCACACACAGCGCACCGCTCCCGCAGCGTGCTCCCCAGCGGGCTCGGCCGGTTCAGTCATAGCTGCTACACGCAGCGCTCATTCATAAATAACGGAGGCAGAAGTAAGCCACGGCATTTGCATCGAGTCGGGACTGTTAGCAACTGCCATAATGGGCTCAATAACAGCTGAATTATGTGCAATGAAATCCCAGTAGCGGGCAGACGTGAGATTATCATCTAACGTTACCGGGATTATATTGTTGCTCTCATGACAAAACAGTGACAAGCCCAAGACAGTGACAAATGGGTTCGTCTTAATTTTTTGAAGCGTTCGGTAAATGATATTAAGGTCTCGTCCCAAAAGAATGGTTGTCAACAAAAGTCCAAACCGAGACATCATTATTGCATAGGGTGTCTGTAAAGCAATGCTGCTTGTTTGTCCGCTTGTATTGCAAAACACGTATAGTCGTTAACTTGATTTCACCATCTTTGGCCATCGGCTCACCTTAATGGCTCTCACTTAACTCAAACGCGTCCCGCCCGGGTATCAACCTAAATCCGCCTGTCTTTTTTATGTAGTTTTCCATTGAAATGCATAAGGTGACCAGACTGCAAGATTTGCGATAGATGATTAAGGTGACGGCGTAATGATGTTTCGATAGATGATGGATAGATCATTATTTTAATATCCCGTGAAGCTAGACTTTGTTGTACTTGTTAATGTAATCACAAAACACGTCGAACAGGCACCGTGAATATAAATTTTCTGCGAATTTGACCTCATATTTTGAACAAAGCTCGGATGCTGTACGACCACTGCCAGTGGTGGTCTTGTATTGGTATCTGTTTCCCTGGCTGGTTTTATGTACGGACCCGCTTGTTGGGGACGCGCGATGACCTTTGCTTTTTGTGGCGTCGTGCGATATCATTATCGGTGGGCTGACGGGCAGCGGGCGCCTGAGGAGGTCATTACCGCCGGATTGGCGCGTGATGAGGTCATCTCGACGGGTGTGACGTATGAGGCGGTTCAGTGCACCAGCCGGCCACCACATTGCCGAGGTTTGGCTGATTGGCTGATGCCGCCCCTTCGGCCGGCACTGCCAGTGGCTTCGTGTCGGAAGTGGCTCGCTACAAATGTCAGCATAATCCGGGGTGTGGTGGGGCGCTGCGACGGCGGGGGCTCAGCTTTCGGCAGAAATGGCTGCTCGTTGTTCCGGGGTCTCTTGTCAAGAACTGTTGCCAGAACCTTATGCAGAACGGCGTTAGTTATTGAGGAGCGTTGTCCTGCCGGATCTCCGCCGATTTGCTGTGCGTTCATCCGTTCTGGATGTTCGGCGGTCGGCGCCCAACCAGCTGCCTGCCGTGGCTGGCGCCGGGTCAGCGGCTGACACTCGGCACCCGTCCTGGCGTCCTGTCCTCTCCTGTCCTGTCCTGTCCTGTCCCGGACGTGGACTAAGCCTGTGTTTCCGGAGTGGCCTACGCTCGGTCAGACGGCGCCACCCGGCCCTCGTCCTGGACCCTGACTAGTTCCGCGTTTTCGTGCCGGCCTACGCTCGGTCAGACGGCGCCACCCGGCGCCCGCCCTGGACCCAGACTAGTTCCGTGTTTCCGGGCTGGCCTACGCTTGGTTAGACGGCGCCACCCGGCGCGTAAACCCAGAGTCCATGGCCATGTCCGTCACCATGCCAGTCGTGTTTACACTCGTTTTGGTTTCTGGGTCAGGTTTGATTCAATGCCTGGCTTCTTCCCACAATGTTTTTGTGTTATCATCAGTAAATTTGGCAGGAAATGTATACACTATCAGACGGAGCCAATCGATTTCGCGTTACCGATTGTGATGTCCGGTTCCGTGAGGAAAGGGAAGCATTCGTGCTGGAGACGGCTGATAGACAATAATTATCAAATCAACGCAACGAAAGCAATTAGCCAAGTCCCAATAAGCGGTCATTGTTTGCTAGCGTCAGCTGTGTAAGTGGTGAGCGCTGCTCGCCTTTAGCCGGGGTGCCGTCGCCACCATCAGCCGCTCGCCTGCCTGCCGCCGGTTGGGGGCGGCGGCGTCTGCCCGGGGGGTGAGCGGGGCGCGGCGTCAGCGGCGGCGCGCTCCCATCGACCCGTCCGTGGCGCCCGGGGCGGCGCGGTCCGGCCCGGGCGGCCCACTGGCCTTGGCCCGTTCGGCGCGCCCCGCCCTCCGCCGTCTTCTCGGCGCGTTCGTGCCGCGTACGCACGCTCGCGTCCGGCCGGCCGGCCGGCCGGCCGGCGCGCCGAGCTGAGACTCGGGCCGGGGCCGGGGAGAGCCGGCGGGCGTGGAGCGGTGGGGCGGGGCCTGCCAGCCAGCCGTCCTGGCCGCGGGGCGTGGACGGCTTAGCTGGCGTTCGATGCTGAGACATGCAGGCACACGGACGTGAGTTGACCGAACAGCTCACGTTAAGACCCGGAGGGCTTTGCAGTGCCTGGTAGAAGTAGCCAATTGGGAATCAGCTGAATCGATTTTCGAAGCTATTCTTGGGGCTTCAGGAAATGGGTTGGATGGCGACACGCGAGACTTTTGACATGCACTCCCAACATCCACGAAAGAGAAGGCTGTTCTATGAATTTATTCGGATTGGCTTACACGGGTAGTTTTGAATTCAGAGGACGTCATATTTGCATTAACCTTCGGACTGACGTCATTTTTGTATTAATTTAGGAAATTAGCCTCCAGATATCTGTTTACGAACTTTGGTGACTAGTTTCCGTTTCGGTGGCCTGAACACGGACATGGGCTCTTCGGTACGGTAGCAAACGCCCATATAAAGTCTGATCACAGGTCCGAGCTACCAGGCGACGCTCTTCTCCCCACCTCTTGAAAGTAATCTGCAGGTTTTTTATGGAAGACCAAGTTTCCAATGATATAGTTGTCAAGTGCATGCCAGTCACAGGATTGGGCAGAACAACCGTGAAATAAATTTGAGGTACGTCGCCTGTAAGCTTGTTAGGAGGCCTATGCACACCTTTTTAGAACCGTGATGTCTAGGTCAAAAAGCGATGAGTGAAGCCGAGTGCAAGCCACAGCACGGACCTTTTGGAATGATGTTGGTCGGCTGATGTTTTTCATTTGAGAAAATGATGCTTGGCAAATTTGATGAATTCGGAAAGAAGTATGATGGTTTGTACATGAAATTAGTATTGAAATTGTGTCAGATACGTCAGTTTTCAATGTCAGTCGACGTTTTGTTTTCAGTTGCCTTTGGCTGACTGATGTTTGGTGTCAGCTGATATAAATTTCAGGAACTTTAAATTGTCATAATGTATGTAAAGTAAAGAATGACATGATATTTAACTTTGAGGAATTATGGCAGCTCGTCAGCTGACCTAGTCACCTGGCGTTGTGTTTACATTGGCACCGCAGCTGCTTCTTGGGCATCTTCGAAGTGGAGGATGAAACATCTGTTAACCCGGATTTTTTACTCCAAACTGCCGGCACCACCTTGAGTTATGTCTGGATTAACATGGTTTTGCTCGCCATGCTTTCCACGCAAGTGCCTTTCGTGCAGACGCTTGGCGCCCAGACATAAGTCGTAAGTTCAGACGGCGTTTTATCTGCACACATTTTTACATCGTTTATGATTGGGTGACGCAAACTGGCCATCCGTCTCTGTCTGCGACCGAGACTGTTCATCGCACGGCTCGCTGCGGCTGTCGCGTCACCGCCGACTTCAGAGCGGCCGCCGTCTATTTCGACGTCGTCGGCGACCCGGTTACGCACGCTGCAGCGCCGTTTGAGCCGGAGCTGGCGGCCATCGGCCCCGGTCGCCGGGGGGAAGCGGCGGCGCGTCTGGCCCCGCTGCTGGCGGCGGGGTCACCGAGGGGCTGCGCGCCCCAGATCTGGTGCGTGGCGGGTCAGACGGCCTGGCGCCGGCCGCCGCGGCCCCCGCCCCGCCCCGCCTCGCACGCCGCCTGGCGGACCGCCGCCGAACCCGCGCCGGGCCACGCGCGCCTGCCGGCGCTCGGACTAGACAGTCGTGCGGCTGGAGGGTCGAGAGAGCGGCGGTGACGTCGGCGCGCGTCTGGAATAGGGACGGTGTCGGAAGCCAGCGTGCGGCAGGCCTGTCGGCACGGAGGCGGCTGGAGCGGACTGTGAGACGGTGCTGAGCCGCGGGTCGCCTGGTTTGGAGCGGGCTGCATCGGTCCTCGCGCGGGAGCCGGACATTCGAGCTACGCGCCTGAGCGAACGAAGATCGGTGACATGCCGGGCGTGCTGACGTACCTGCCGCTGGCGCCGCCGCCGGCCACCCCCAGCCGGCCCGCGCTCCGCCGCAAAACGTCCATGGTATTCGATGTCAAGCTCATGGGCGACCACGTTTATGTGGTGGTTAATGAAGAGGTGGGTACCCGCCTTACGGAACTTGGTGACGGATGTCGTCCAGGAGCTCCAACACCTCTCTAAAATTGAGTTTGGATCATTTGCAATGGTTAGATTCGGAATCAGTCATTAGTGATGAGGGCTTGACACGCCCACCATTTAGCCTGTTCTATCCCCGTTCAGTTGATTTTGCCTCCGGCGTTTCTCTTTTTTACCAGACAGTATCGCGGCGGGTTTTAGCTGTCAAACGTGCTCTTACACAGCCGCTCAGAGCCAGGTGGGCCCACGTTGACCAGTTACTAGTTGACATGACCATGCCGGTGGCGGCCAAACCTCGCCTGCGCTCTGATTAGCTACGTAATAACATTGGCTGCGGGTCCTGGAGCTCAGGTGGCGTTGATTTTCATCCATCGTTGTTTTTCATCCCTTTCGTTCGTCATGATTTATGCTTTGCCATTCTGAATATTCGTAATTTGGGCTGTCACGAACATTAAGTTTCTTTTATGAATAAGTTGTTGAGCAAACGTCGTTGTTAAGCCGTTCACAAAGCTGACGTTGGTCGACCGTTCGACCAGGCTGGCGGCGCGTGCTGCCGGACCGCAGCGTGTCCCTGCTCCCTTGAGCACCTCACCAGGTGGTGCAGGGATTCGCGGGCGTGCCCTGAGGCGCTCTCATCCGGACAAGGGCGAGCCCGGGTCAAAGATCTCCGGCTCCGGTCCTGCGATTTGTACGTCCATGTTGGACTAGATGTACTTAACAAAATAATTTGTTTTCCTGATGATTCGTTTCGTATCATCGGAATGTATTGCATGGCGAATTAGCGGCGTGTTGTCCTCTTTGGCTTGGAGGGAGGTTGTGAGCCGTGGCCCTTGATGCTGAATAGCCGTCTGGCTGGGAGACTTTTACGAAGCAATATTTCTTGAAATATTGCACATCTTTCCAACATCTCAAAAAAGGTTTTACTTGTCAGCGCAATGATTCTGTCTGAAAACAATTGAAACCTTGACGTAGTTAATGCAGTTCTAGGAAACATTTTGTGACGTTATGCGACGTTTCGCGGAGTGGGTCTGAGTGGAATAGCCTATAATGTGTCTTCTGTGACGCCATTTCGTCATGAAAATGAATTCCGCCATCTAGGCAGCGGCCTGCGTGAGCTTTGGCCGGTAAATCTCTGTTGCCCTTTTGCTGGTCCTGGTGATGGGATACTCGGTAGGAGCCGAACCGTGCACGGTGCTGCTGAGGCCGGCTTATTCGGAGATCACGCTCCTCTCTCCTGCTGCGAAATAGAGTAATCTCCGCACGTTGAATGAAAACGCCCTGTTCTAGTAGCTGTAGTCGCTGTCGTAGATCCTGCAGCGTCTCCGTGCTGTGTGTGCGCAGGGAATCCCTGCGTTTTCGATGGGAGCGCCGATCGTTGCGGTAGTCCGTTCTCATTCGCCGATATCCCTCGGGCCGGTTTCTCCGTCTTTGCTTCCAAAGCCGTCGCCGTTCTGCCGCAGCTGCAGTTAGGTGGCACGTCGGGCACGTGGGTTTGGCTTAGCACCGGATGCCTCTGGACGGCTGAATATCCACTGGCTTGCCATTGGAGTTGGAATGAAGTTGGTGACATGTTTTGTCGGTTGGGGAGGATAGCCGAGTTATTCTACATATTTTGCATGTAGTGGCGCCGTTGTTTTTTATGAACGTGCTTTCCTGCAATGCCACCCATGTATGTGGCAAGGCACAAACGCGAAAACATGTGCTTTCTGCGTAGGCCAATATTACGTGCATAGTGTTTGCGGTTACACGGTTGTGCGTGACGTGATGTGACGTGTGACGACAGAGACACCAGCGTTTATGGAGCGGTTTTACAGACCAAAACAAGGGTACCGGTAGTGTAGTGGTTCACGCATCAGCGTTAACTACTGTGCGTCTGGGAAACCAGAGGTACGGGGTTCGATTTCTCGCGGTGCCCGCCCTTCCTGCCAGGGTGAGAGGCAGGCGGCGCCATATGGCCTCAGCAGCTTAGTGCGTCGTGAAGCCCCAATGACATGACGGACCAAAACAACTCCGCAGCGAAGAAGCTGCAAATATTTGCTTTGCTGCAACGGATGTAGAACAGACATTTCGTGCTCGACCTGGTCAGCGGGCTGTGTTGTAGCTTGGTGCGCAGTGTCGACATAATGCTGGCGCGACTAGGTTATAATGTACTATCGTTATATGGCGATCATGTGTCGCCAGGTAACCAAGTAGGTAACCAAGTCCAGCGCTGGAGAAGCATTGCGGTGTAAGGGACAAACGGCTGTCAGAAAAGGTGCTACATATGTCAGCAAAAGGTGCCATGACTTTCCGTATCTATAAACACATCATTTGGTGGACCCAGACCCGTAACACGTTGCGTCCATTATCTCTTCTCGTCGCTGCTTTGCCAAAGCGTGGTGGCCTCTGGGCGCCGCCTGACTGAACTGACGCCTCTCGCGTGCTCGGCAGGACCTGGTCAAGTCGCATCTGCTGCTGGCCGTGCGCGAGGAGGTGGACGTGCTCAAGGCCAACATCTCCAAACTCGTCGACAAGATCAGCGTGCTCGAGCGCGAGAACGAGGTGCTCAAGACGAACGCGTCCCCGGAGGTGCTGGCCCAGCTGGAGGCGACGCAGCCGAGCCAGGCGCCGTCGCCCACGCCGGGCGCCGCGGCGCCGCCCGGCCCGCCCGGCCCGGCCGGCCCGGCGCCCTAGCTGGTGGCCACCCCGCCGGTCAGGGGTCGCCCCGCCTCCCGGGCGGCGGCGCCGTCAGAGGGACGTCGCTACAGGCGACGCTCAGGTGCTCCGTGCTGTTTTCCGGCTAGTGATCTTTGATGGCGATGATATTTATTTTTGATTGGCGCGGCGCCGCCAGGGGGCAGCTCTCGCTCGCCGCCCTCCTGGCCGCGCGGAGGGCCAGTGTGCGCGCGCGCCGCTGTCTGCGCCGGGCCGGGTTGAGCGCCGGCGACCGGCGCACCAGCCGCCCGTTCTGAGTGTAACCCCCGCTTTCTACGGGTTCGAGTCGGTGAGTGTCAGCGGTGGCATTGTGCGCCGGAATAGTCGGCCAGCATCTGAGCAATATGGGCGCGTGGCGCAGTGCCCGACGCGTTAATGTATAGAACACATTCTAAGGCTGGCTGGGTCCGGGTGTTCCCGTGCCGCGGTGCGTGAGTGGCGGTTTGAGTGTCGGTCTCATCAAACATGTATATAATCATGTTCATTGCCATGAGTGAAACTGTCCCCTGCCATACTGGCACGGGGCACTGTGCTAGCATGAAACATAGAAATACAGGTGCTGAACAGATCACCCGCTGTGTGAGGCTTTTCCCGTCTCCGGGCCTGGCAAGGCTGATCGGCGACGCTTTATCGCCTAGTGAAATGGAGGCCGTTGATGGCTGGCTATGAGTCAGCACGCGCGGATAGCGCGTAGTTGATGCCGTCCGATCCAGGGTAAGCTGCGCCGAGTGTGCGAGAAATGTGGTCCTGCGGCTGCCGTCCAAATTCGAGAGTTCGTGCGTTCTCGAGCGCGGAATGTGGTCACCACGGATCCAGTCAGCGATAGCTCTTTTGACGAGGTAAAAACCGGGTGGGTCTTGGTGTCAGTTTGCTGCGCGTGGCGTCCTTCCAGCCGGCCGTTATCGGGCGTAGTGGAAGTCGCCCCCCAAAGTAGGAAGTGTCCTGGCACCCGATAAATAATCATGAGCCAGCTGACCCAGATGCTGGGAAGTGAGTGGTGACCTTGCCGCCAGTGATTTAGCGAGCCCCTGCAGGCGCAGTCACGTGACGCTGTTACCAGCCGGGCTGATTGGCTACTGCGTTCGTTCAGGGCCGAAATCACTAACGCTTCCGGATTGCCGTCAGCATCAAATGAACGGCAAATCGTGAACCATTGGATCTCAAATTTTGACACAACTCTCCAACACTTGTGTGGATAAATTCGCTATGGAGGTTGAGCACTTACCAGATCCCATACACCCAGCTGGACCAGGCAGCGGACCAGTCCAGTGCGTGATCATTCCTCGGCGAGAGCATCTGCTTCGCGATCATGGTTTCGCCACAGCGGCATACTGATGGTTTGACCTCGCAGTGGTGACTGCACATGCGAGACGACAGAATGGGATCACCTCGATATTTTGCGCGGATGACCAGGGGCAATCGCAGCCGGCTCACTAGATGACCAGACTCAATCGCAGTCGGCTCACGCGAAAATCGGCAAGTCCAGCAGAAATGCCGAATGGCAGCGCCACCTATACGAAGAACTATATAAGTGACACTTCTTTGTCGCGTCGCTAGGTGCCAGCACAACCCCTTACCTTTATTTCGGTCCAAAAATAATCGCACCTGGGTATCATGTTCAGCAGGGATGAAAATGCATACCTTAGGCCCATGGGCAGGGGAAACAGATCCCTGTCATTTGCTACATTAGTCTAGACACATCTGTGAGCAGCCTGTTTAAGCGTTCTGCCGCCAAAAGCCGACGCCGGTTAATGGCCGCCGCCCCACGTCCGCCCCGAAAGGGAAACCCACTTTGCACCTCCAGTCGGGCCCGTCGTCGCCAACGTACGCCGGTCGGGAGTTCTCGAGACGTGTCAGCGGCAGACGCACCATGGAGCTGGACGAAGAACGCCAGGGTTTCTTCCGGCCGTTCAGCCAGGGCGTGTTCCGCGGTCTCCGTGCCGACCAGTGGGCCAGCTTCTGCAGCCTCAGCTCCGACGAACAGCGCATCGGCTTCGTCTACGACCTGCCGGAAGTGCGACAGGTGGCGTTGGCCGAGGTATTCAAGGAGAAGGACGAGGCTGAAGCGAAGAAGAAGAAGGATGAGGGCAACGCGGCGTTCCTGGCGGGGGACTATCCGGCCGCCATGCGCTGCTACAGTCGGGCTATGGCCGTGGCGCCCTTCAAAGAAGGTGAGCGGTCACCCTGCCAGAACGTAGTGCATGCGATCGACTACCTGACAGATAAATCTACCTAGATGATAAGCGCAGGGCCCTGGACCGAATTGCTATCCAAATTGCCGCGACACTGGCATACAACAGTGACCCATGCGCGAGTGCGATGCGAAAGATATCAGGTGGCAGGTCCATCAGAGGCAGCACAAAGGCGTTTGACCCCATTGGTATGTTAGCGGTAGCAGCATACAGCTCCAGGATATTACGAATGATCTCTAGGGTTATGACTGCCGCGCCCGTAGAGCTGTTCTGCAGATGGCGCTAAGCCCCGTGAAGCCCACGCCGCTGGCACGTGCGGCTGCGCGTGGCTGATGATCCCTCCCTTGTGCAGACGGCACCAGCGAGCTGGTGGCGGTGTGCGCCGCCAACAGGTCGGCCTGCCTCTTCCACGCCGGCCGGCACGCGCGCTGCCTGGCCGACGTCGAGCTGGCCCTGCAGTCGGGGTACCCGGTTGCCCTGCGGTTCAAGGTGCTGGACAGGTGAGGCCTCCGTCCGCCGCGCCCCCGCTCCCCTGCCGTAGCGGCCGTGGCCTCGAGGCGGCTCCGGCCCGGCTGGCGAGGTGTCCCCACAGCCGTCGGTGGCGGATTGGACCGGTTCTGCATGGAAGACGGGGAACGTTGGAAAGGCTCAGTATAGTTAATGATAGCTCAGCGTATGCGCTAAGAAAAAGTTGTATGTGTTGGTGTTTCAGCAAAAGTTAGCAAACAGTTAAAAGTTGGTAAAAATTGCATGCTCTGCTTTCAGGAGAGCCCGCAGTCTGATGGCACTGAAACGCTTCAGCGAAGCCAAAACAGCATTCCAGAGCGTCATTAAAGCTCTGGACGACGCCAATCTGGAGGCAGGCAAACACTTACATTGGCAGAAGGAAATACAGAAGATGCTAGTACTGTTCGACACGGCTAAATACACGGATGCACGTAAGTCAAAGTAATTGTATGTATTAGGTAGGTTCTTTTCCTCAAATTGATCAGATAAGATAAGATAGGTGTGACGTAGTTTTTTAAAAGCCCGCTTAGGAACCAATCAGCCAGACATGACGGAGTAAAATGCTAGATATATGGCGCAGTGCAGTTCCATTACCTGACATAAAGTTTTTGTGTATCTTAAACAAATTGCACCAGTCAAATTTGTCACGCATACTGAACGCGTTATAAACCATTTTAAATGGATCAAGCATAGCAAGTGAAAAAATACAATATCGAACAGAAACTAACACAAAAATGAAACGATGCATCTTGCTCGCGACCGTTTTAAATTAAGAACCACGCGTATGAATTTTCTAAGCCATTTTAACTCATCTTCCTTGCCCCGCTCCAGCGGCCAAGCCTCAGTCCTGGCTGCCGCCGCTGCCTCCGTTGACGTCCGGAGCGAACCCGGACTATCCGTCCGCCTCGAAAAAGGTATATGTCAAGACTATAAACGCGTCGTGTAGGACGTGACGGATGTTTTAGAAGTTAAGTCCATGTTGTTTGATAATCATCCATTTCTAAGCATTATCAGTGCACAAAGTCACGACTGCTGCATCAGCGATGTCAACAAAAGGCTTCATTTTACCTGTCAGCAAGCATTACCTGAGGGATCCAGGAGAGATCCGTGAAAATGAACACGAAAACAGTCGATACATGAGAGACGGAACTAGCGATGCCGCACAGACTCGTCGCTTTGTGAGCACTGCAGCTCTTAACTCCCAGTCCCCTTCCGATTAGCTGCCCACTGCCTCCCCGTTTTTCACGTTTCTCCGTCCCCAGCCAATCCGTCCCTCTCCCATGTTGTGAGTTTGCGCCGGCAGGTGGCGTTCAGCTCGACATCGACGGAGGGCCGGTTCGCCGTGAGCAGCCAGCCCGTGGCCGTGGGTGACGTGCTGGTGGTGGAGCGGCCGTTCGCGGCCGTGCTCCGGCCAGAGAAACACGGCACGCACTGTATCCACTGCCAGACCAGGTCAGAGCGACTGCAGCTGCCCACAGACACGCCGATGGTCACTCGGCGGCGTTTTAAGTGAAGCAGGTCCTGGCATCTGCCAACAGATTTAGATGAGATGCTTGCGGTCACCACGCTATTGAGACGAAGACACAAACCCGAGAACAAATATTGCGAGCAGCACACGTTCAACGTTGGTGATATATGCAGACACTGATTTTGAGTGCATTTGCAAAGACAGTTAAGACTGCTTTCTGTTTGCGTAGTGACTTCGGATATGTGACTTTGCCTTGCCGTGTTGCATCCCAACTGTCGGAGTCTGCGCACCACACATTGGCGGTGAATTGGCCACACTTACGGCTCCGCCCACCGTGACTGTGCCTGTCCCTCCGTCGCCATGGCCCTGGACCTGTGCCCCTCCTCCGACCATGACGCGCTGCCGCTGTCCCGTCAGGATCCGGGACTGCGTGCCCTGCACTGGGTGCGCCGGCGTGTTGTTCTGCTCGCTCTCGTGCCGCACGGCCGCGCTCGACACCTACCACCGGTTCGAGTGCCGCATCCTGGACCTGCTGTACGCCTCGGGCATGAGCGTGACCTGCATGCTCTCGCTGCGGCTGGTGAGCCGGCTGCGGCTGCAGCAGCTGCTGGAGGCGCGGCCGCGGCTCGACCGGCCGGCGGAGCGCTACGACCCGGACGACTACGGGAATATCCACCGGCTGGTCAGCCACGCCGAGGGCAGGACGGCGGAGGCCGTGTTCCCGCTGGCATTGATGGCCGCCTTCATGCTGCGCTGCCTCGAGTTCCAGAACTACTTCGGGCCAGGTGGGCGTCACCCAGTCGTCGAGTCGCGTGTAGTG